GTATATCTCTATAAAGTATACCTGTAATAGGAAGTATTGCCGCTAACCCTCCATACATTTCTAAATGTTTTGAGCCAGTATTGACACACAGTTAATATATGATACATATTCGTTTCAGCATAAGTATAAAATGAAAAGATGAATAATTCTTGGTTCTCAGTCGTTTTGTTGATTTTTAGTCCCCTATTGGTATTTTGGGTAAATCGACATACAATTCGTCATAAATGACTAGCCAATCGCATAACAGCAATGCTCCTGAGGATAAAATTGGCTTCGATGAAAATGTAGGTGAAGGATACAATTACAGATTGATTCTGTTGGTAAAACACACTCACCTTTCATGTGCATAACTGATTGTATTTGATTTGCCATTATCGGTGTTTTTGTAAGGTGCTAAAGTTGCATTTTTGATAACAATTTTTAATATGTTTTACGGTGTGACCGTTGAGGCGAGCGCAGTTGTACCATCAAAACACTTAAAAAATTGATCAGCCACTTCAAACATCAAGTCGCACGAGACATCTCATCTAGCTGTGACGTCACACGACGTCACGGAGCTCGTCGGAGCCTACGGAAACGGCCGAGCGTCTGGTTTAAACTACAGTACCTGGCCATAAGTCTGTCATAAAATGGCTGACGTAACGTAACGTGGCATAATCATGTTATTCGCTTCGCGAATGGAATAAGTTTGACGTTGTACACGTTAACGTCAAAACCTGTATGGGAATGATTTTAATCATGTTTTGGCATTCGTTAATAAAAATTATCAATGATTTAAGGAAATAAAATATATTGAGAATAAATGGAGAATTCTGTCTTGTATGATAACGGAATAGGTATAAAAAAAATGAAAGAACCGTATCGATCATACATATGTGACGAACAGGTAGCGAATCAAATGACATGAGTATATATATACTGACGAAACATTCTAAAAAGCCTCTGAAAGGGGAGATTTTCCCCGGAAAAGGGTTTCTTTGGGGGACATACAGATTAAAAATGGGGCTTGGTTTTTTGGGGGGGATCATACTTAAAATGATCATTTCTCAAATGATCAAGGCAAATTATAGGGAGCGAATCAAATAACATGAGTATATACCGACGCAAGTTCTGTTTTTCCTTGCACATGTTGCATGAGAGTCAATTAGACCGTATCGATCATATATATGTGAAGAACAGGTAGCGAATCAAATAACATGAGTATATATATACAGACGCAACATTCTAAAAGCCTCTGAAAGGGGAGATTTTCCCCGGAAAAGGGTTTCTTTGGGGGTCATTCGGATAAAAAATGGGGCTTGGTTTTTTTGGGGGGTACATTCTTAAAATGATCATTTTTCAAATGATCAAGGCAAATTATAGGGAGCGAATCAAATAACATGAGTATATACCGACGCAAGTTCTGTTTTTCCTTGCATGAGAGTCAATTAGACCGTATCGATCATATATATGTGACGAAAAGGTAGCGAATCAAATAACATGAGTATATATATACAGACGCAACATTCTAAAAGCCTCTGAAAGGAGAGATTTTCCCCGGAAAAGGGTTTCTTTGGGGGTCATTCGGATAAAAAATGGGGCTTGGTTTTTTTGGGGGGTACATTCTTAAAATGATCATTTTTCAAATGATCAAGGTAAATTATAGGGAGCGAATCAAATAACATGAGTATATACCGACGCAAGTTCTGTTTTTCCTTGCATGAGAGTCAATTAGACCGTATCGATCATATATTTGTGAAGAACAGGTAGCGAATCAAATAACATGAGTATATATATACAGACGCAACATTCTAAAAGCCTCTGAAAGGGGAGATTTTCCCCGGAAAAGGGTTTCTTTGGGGGACATACAGATAAAAAATGGGGCTTGGATTTTTTTTGGGGGGATCATACTTAAAATGATCATTTCTCAAATGATCAAGGCATATTATAGGGAGCGAATCAAATAACATGAGTATATACCGCCGCAAGTTCTGTTTTTCCTTGAACGAGAGTCAAGTAGACCGTATCGATCATATATGTGAAGAGCAGGTAGCGAATCAAATAACATGAGTATATATATACAGATGTAACATTCTTAAAAGCCTCTGAAAGGGGAAATTTTCCCCGGAAAAGGGTTTCTTTGGGGGACATACAGATAAAAAATGGGGCTTGGAATTTTTTGGGGGTTTCATTCTTAAAATGATCATTTTTCAAATGATCAAGGTAAATTATAGGGAGCGAATCAAATAACATGAGTATATACCGCCGCAAGTTCTGTTTTTCCTTGAACGAGAGTCAATTAGACCGTATCCATAAATTTCAATTAAAATTAACGGAATAAATAACAAACTTTATTCAATTATTTATTTTCTCATTAAGGCATCAATAAGCTAAATAAAAAAAAATTGTGTTTATTCCGTAAATGATATAAATTTAGATATAAAATTTTACGGAATAAATAGCAACATTTATTTTACTAGCTGCAATTAGATAATTGTCTGCCGTTCATACGGAATTAATAGCGTATCTTAAAACTAATTTCTTTATATGCATTTTCTCTTTGTGGTGTTATATACTTCAGTTTACGTGAAAAGCATTAAAAGGGGAAAATAAAATTGTGTTTATTCCGTAAATGATATAAATTTAGATATAAAATTTTACGGAATAAATAGCAACATTTATTTTACTACCTGTAATTAATTAATTGTCTGCTGTTCATACGGAATTAATAGCATATCTTAAAACTAATTTCTTTATATGTATTTCCTCTTTTTGTGGTAATATATACTTCAGTTTACGTGAAAAGCATTAAAAGGGGAAAATAAAATTGTGTTTATTCCGTATATGATATAAATTTAGATATAAAATTTTACGGAATAAATAGCAACATTTATTTTACTACCTGTAATTAATTGTCTGCTGTTCATACGGAATTAATAGCGTATCTTAAAACTTACTTAATATGTATTTTCTCTTTTTGTGGTATTATATACTTCAGTTTATGTGAAAAGTATTAAAAGGGGAAAATTGCGTCGGTATATACTCATGTTATCTGATTCGCTCCCTATAATTTACCTTGATCATTTGTAAAATGATCATTTTAAGAATGAACCCCCCAAAAGATCCGAGCCCCATTTTTTATCTGAATGACCCCCAAAGAAACCCTTTTCTGGGGAAAATCTCCCCTTTCAGAGGCTTTTAGAATGTTGCGTCTGTATATATATACTCATGTTATTTGATTCGCTACCTGTTCTTCATATATATTTAAAACGAACCCTTTTCCTTTGAAAATCTCCCCTTTTATAAAATTTTAGAATGTTGTCTCTGTATATATATATCCATGGTATTTCATTCGTCACCCATTCTTCATATATGTGAACGATTATCTAAAGAATCTAGCATTGGACCTCTCTCTCTCTCGTATTATTTTATTTCCTGCAATAGTAGTCAATACTACTAAATATTCGAAAATAATAATATAAACTGTATAACATCATTGGAATCCCTCTAATACAAGAAATGACGTTAACGTGTACAACGTCAAACTTATTCCATTCGCGAAGCGAATAACATGATTATGCCCGTAACGTGAACAACGTGAACGCAAAATTCAAAAATAAAAAAAATTCTATAAATATTAAGCACTTACCTTTTTATCTCTAGTATTTAGTTGCATGACCCTTAGATTTAATAACTTGTCGAATTCGCCTTGGAATTGAAGCATACAGACTCTGAACAGTCAGGGGCATAACTCAAACAAGTTATTTTTAAAAATAACTCAAATGAGTTATTTTACATTATTTCACACACACAATTTTTTTTTTGAAAAGTAACTTAAATAAGTTATTTTTATATCCTACTTGGACATTGATTTCTTGGAAATTTCGTGTTTCCTGCCAATTTGCATTGCATTTTGGGATTCCATTATGTAATACTAGATGGAGTTCACCGACTCCAATGGAAAATTGGTCAGGAGGTGGAGATAAACAGCATTTAACTCCTTATTTTGTGGTTTTATCCACATGGTGTATATGTCCAATTTTTATCATTAAATAAAAAAAATTCCCGACTTTTCCCAAGACTCTGAACACTTTTTCTGCATTGAGCAAGGTTTATATTTAGTCAAACATTTGTTTTTGTCTTGGTGCACGAGCAAAATCCTTTGGTGCACGGGGTGTGAAGTTAGTGAGGAATGACACAAAATAACTTAAATAAGTTATTTATTTTATGAAGCTATTTTGGAAAAATAACGTGTTTGAGTTATTAAGGTTGGGAAAAAGTAGGTCATGGCAAAGAGAAGTAACTCATTGAGATAAAGAAATAACTCATTTGAGTTATTTTTGAAAATAACTTGTTTAAGTTATGCCCCTGACTGCTGAATGTAGTGCTGAGGCAAGGACCACCATATTTCCTTTACTTTCAAGATGAGGTCTTCACGATTATGAATATTGTGTACCTGTCTCTGAAGACGTATTTTTATGGTTCTCCACACGTTTTCAATTACATTGATATCTGGAGATTGTGATGGCCAAATAAGACATTTAATATCGTTTTCAGTTTTCCATGATTTTGTTGCGTTAGAGGAGTGGACCGGTGCATTATCATCCTGAAATAAATAGTCACCATTCGGGAAATGGCGCAAAATAACTGGCCATAAATTTGTATCCAAAATGTTAATGTATTTTTGGGAATTAATATTCCCATCTACCTCTGTAAATGTTCCGATTCCTTCGTGAGTAATACACCCCCAAAACATCGCCGAGTACTTTCCGTTTCCACGTACGCCAAGACACTCTGGTCGCCATACTTCGTCGGGTCTTCTCCAGATGTAAACGCGCTTATTCTGGTCAATCACAACCTGGGTTTCGTCGCTGAAAATCACCTTTTTCCAATTATTATTCACTGTCCAATGTAATTTCCCTCGACACCAATTTACACGGCGGGTGCGGTTTACAGATCGAATTGTAAGGGTCTTCCTGGTTTTCCTTCTTGTAAAGTTTAAAAATCGCAAACGTCTTCTTACCGTCCGTGAAGAGATAGAACTTGGTAACTTCGAGTTCACTTCATCAGTTATTTCACCCAAAGTTTGCCGTCTGTTGAGTTTCACACATCGAAGTATCTTACGATCTCCTCGTACATCAGTTTTTCTTGGTCGACCGCTTCGATGCTTATTTTCGCTGGATCCGCGCGTCTTGTATCGCTTGAGAAACTTGGAAATCCCAGACTGGCTCACAGAAAGAATAGCTGCTATGTCCTGTTGGGTGTATCCACTCTCAGACATAGTTATTATCGCATTTTTCATAGGGGTAGACATTTGTTTACCTTTAGTAGCCATCTTGTCAGTTGCTAAATATTTGACAGATATTGCGTCACTTTTATAAAATGACGTCATAGAATTATTGTATACACTCTATAGAAAGGAACTATTCAACAGCAGCTTGCATAGAGCGATTTATTTACCAGCGCTAAAGAAAAAAAAATGGCTTCCTGAATTTTGATATTTCAGCAGCCATTTTTATGACAGACTTATGGCCAGGTACTGTATAGACCTAGTACAATTTTGGTCGAAAAACATTGCAGAGTTATTTTTTGTTTCTTTGAAAGATTTCTACAAACTGAAAGCTTTTTATGCTTTAAGTTATTGTTTATTTATTTATTTATTTCACGGAAGCAACCGACATGACTTAATTAGCATATCGTCAAAATTCGTAAGTTTCCGGTGACGTCATATGTATCATTTCCGAAGGGCAAGGTGAAGGCCAGTGTTGTGACATGGGGGTATTTTTTTGAATAAGGCAAGGCAAAATCATTTCGTTAAGTTCTCGGTAAGAAACAATGTTCCTTTATTTTTTTTACTATTTTTGATTTATTCGCGCAAAGGACATTGGGTAGTGCAGGAATTCTGGGAATGTTGCACAGAGAAATTTGCCTGACGTATGTACAGATTTCATTCCGAATTTCCTCTGTTCTTACACGTTAGTCTATTGAGCTCGCTTCGCGAGCGTCGCTTCGCGACGCTCGCTGCGCTCGCTATGATAACGCACACTGCGTGAACTATCCTATGTAACGTTTTGTGTACATCGGTTTTTAATATATAGAGTACCTTTTAACGAGTGTATCTTCAGATATCAGACGAGGGGGCTTGCCCCCCGAGTCAGATATCTGAAGATGCAAGAGTTAAAAGGTACTCTATATGTTTTGTATCATTGTTCTCACGCACTGTGTTATAACCATGATCTATGATACTATCAATATATATCACGTTCATAGGGCATGTTCATCTTGACGGGCCTATATTCCCAGGCGTATATTCCCACGCACTGCTCTATTAATATTTCATCATACCATTTCATGACCAATGAAAAAAGAGCACGTGATTCGCAAGTATAGGGCGCTGTTTTTCTCGAATATTTCTACATTGACATCTATGGATGACGGCTGCGATTTTTTGTTATCCCAATTTTTAGATACGGTAGAAACGGAAATCAAAATTGAAAATTCTGTAGGCCAGTTAGGAAACCTAAACATTTCACAATTTAATGATGTGTACCTCAAGGAAGAAGATTCTACACCTATGGACTTTCAGACTATAAATTTTGACTTGGGCATTTTCTCGTGGGAGAATTCAATAGATCAAAATGATGGTGACATGAAAATGGAAACTTTTGAATGTGTTGGGCCTAACGAATCACAGATTCAAAGGTTCGCTGAAGCTGTGTCAGATGATGATTTGCGGCAGCTGATTGACTCTCAGACAAATCCTAATACGCAGAGAAATACGAAATGGTGTGTTGAAATGTTTAATAAATGGCGCGCATCTCGAGATAATGTACCTTCAAGTTACATAAAAGAAATGAACGCAGAAATGCTGAATTACTAGTTACAACGCTTTGTGTTGGAGGTACGTAAACAGGACGGCAGTGAATATCCCCCGCATACTCTCTACTTCATTGTTTGTGGATTACTGCATCATTTGCGAGAGGAAAACGTTCATAATATGAATTTTCTTGATGAACATGACCACCGTTTTGCCGTTTTCCGTAAAGTTTTGGACGCCCGTATGAAGGAATTGTTATCAAAAGGCGTAGGCACCAAAGTGAAACAAGCTGATCCACTGTTGCCGGAAGATGAAGAAAAAATCTGGACTAATAGAGTATTCGGGTCACACTCTTCTCAAGCTCTACAGTACACAGTTTTCTTCTATAACTGTAAGATATTCGGTTTGAGGGCCTTTGACAAACACAGAAATCTGGAGTGCTCCCAGTTTGAAATTGGGCAAGACGAGCAAGGAAAATTTATTCCATTTACGGGCAGATTATCTAAGACTTACAAAGGGGGGCTGAAACATCTGCAGCTTACCAATAAAGATCTAAAACATTACTGCCAAGAAGGTAAGTTGTTTCTATTAGTATATTTTAAAATTGTACTGTACTAGATCTACAAAGCTTTTAGTTATTTGTCCGGCAATCGCTATTATTAATGAACAGAAGAAAAATGAAATAGAGCGACAAGTTTTGTTTTAAGAGTTATCCCCCTTAGATATTGATTTTCTACAGTATGTAGGCTACCGGGTTCGATTATGCGCAAGGTGCCAGTTTTGATTTCCGTTTTGAAACACAGAGTTGGAAAAAAAACTGCTTCTCGACATTTGATCATTTATTCTTTGCTACAGAAAACATAGTACACCTCAAACTAAAGTTTTCTTATTTTTTTTTCAGGTGAATGGTGTCTTGCCGATTTCTATTGTACCTATCTCAAAGCTCTCAATAATGGTGGACCTTTTTACCGCCGTCCCTTAGCTGACGCAGGTCCTGTATGGGTGCGATATGGCGAACAAGAACTGGGAGTTAACAAACTAAAGGGCCTGATGAAGGAAATCACAGGTAAAGCAGGACTGAAGGGAAACTTTACCAACCACTCGGGCAAGAGGACCTGTGCTACTCAGTTATATCACGCAGGGATCGACGAGCAGGAAATCATGTCTTGGACCGGTCACAGGTCAGAGACGGCAGTAAGAAAATACAAAAGATCAAATTCAGCACTACAGGAGCGTGTTTCCGAAGTTTTGAATCCCCCAAACGTGAAAAAAATTAAATGTGAAACAACCACGCTTAAAACAAGTGAGTGTGAAAATATTCAGGATGAAAATTTGAGTTCGGTGTGCGACAGTGCCGTTTTATCTGAAAGTGAAATTGCAACTTCCAGGGAAAATGCCGAGAGTTAAAATACCTGCATTTTGAAGCCAGGCTCGGTATTTAATACATGTAATTGCACTTTTTCATTTTTAACCCCGAGTGGCTTTCTTTGAACAGTAAAAAAAACAATTGTGTTTTCTTGCATTAAATGTCATCTTTTTTATTTTATTTGAAAAAAATATTGTGCACATTTTCATTTAATGTCATGTACATGTAACATGATGTAAGCACATGAAATTGCAATAAAATACGATTTTTTTTCATTTCTTGCTACTGGTCAGTGGTGTGATCTATCACAGATATATCACGGAAAACTGTTATGTATCAGGAAAAAATGAATGGCTGAGATCAAAGGAAAACCTCACAAACAATGATACAAATTTTTGGAAGCCTCCTTTATTTAAAAAATTATTTAATAAAGATTTTCCAGCAAATATTTCTGCTACATCCTCTTAAATTTGGTTAGACAAGAGGAAAAATCACTGTGTTAATTAACCTCCAGTATTCTGGCCAATGGTAAGTAACTCTTGCTAAATTCAGGCCTATCCAAAACTATCTATTGACCTATCCTGTTATTCTATTTTGAGAAGTGGACAGACTTTACGTAATTCCTCTTCTCTTCACAATTATAATCCTTCGTGTTTGACGGTATATGTCAGTTTTTCTTGTGACAGTTGTGTGTATTAATTTTATTTGAAATATATAATTTAACACATCTGTTATGATAATCAGACATATTTTATATGAGATGAGTTGAAGTGTAGGCCGTCACGGGTTCTACATTTTTACACGTTTTCCAGAATCAAAACATGAAGGCTTGTGAAAAGAGGTAGATGTAGGGGAAAGCCTGTCCAAGTTTCTCTTAAAAGAATAAGGTCCTGCCAGTGTCTCGCCTTTCAGGTCTTTATAGAGAAGATGGAAAACACATATTGCACTTTTAGCCAGAAGTTTGTGCACTACATATTGTATCCTGACTACCTTTTATTATTAATTCTTATGTTATTTACACTATTTTCAGATCAGTTCATTTACTGTAGATGTAACTGAGATAACTGCATATTTCTGGATATCAGGATTTATTATTATTTTTTTTTTGTAGAAGACCTCTGCTCTGTTGATGATCATTCAGGCTCAGTATGGCCAAGATAAGGATTCTGGTACTTATTGTACATGTAAGTCTCATACTGTCCGCAGGAGGAAAGGTCATCTTCAAAATGGCAGGTATTGTAAGTACAGATGAAAGTGGTCTAACATTTGAAGAAGCTGTAAGGAAAGCTAACCAAGACTTACCGGCTGATATAGAATTTCAGGCGCTTTACATCAAAATGGATGCTAATCCAATTCGATCTGCTTTGAACTTGTGTAGTGCTGTTATATCTAAGGGCGTTCACACAGTTATTGTTAGCAAGCCAGAGAATTCGGACAACAATCCTCCTATCTCTGTGTCCTATACCTGTGGCTTCTACTCTATCCCAGTCATTGGTATATCAGCAAGAGACAGTTCATTCTCAGACATGGTAAGAACTAGGAACATTTTTATGTTTCTTATGAATTCCTAATTGTAGGATTAAATTATAGTAGTGTTAAATTGTTCATTTGTGCAGGAAGAGAAATAATTCAGCCTGTAAAAATGGTAAATAAAAACTGATTTTTTTTCTCAATATCAAGAGGACTTTAATTTGAATAGTCACAGATAATGTGCTTGTATCTTCAGCATGTTCAGGTAGTGCAGATTCAAAAATTCTTCAACCAACTTACCAATGATATTCTTTACATTTGGTTGATATTGTTCTAGTGATTCTGAAGAAGAATTTTAAAAAGAAATTTTTTTGACAGGTTGATCAAACTTGAATCCAAAAAGTGCACTGACACTCAAGTCTTTAGCTTAGACATGTTAGATGAGTTAAAAAAAAAGTAACAAAAAGAGTGCATTTAGCAAATGTGTTCATAGAGCATTGTACATTTACTGGTGTGTTCAGAAACTTGAATGTCACATACATGTACATGTATTGTCTTGGTCATGATCTCATTAAATCACTCTTATTCCAGACTGTTCACAAGACCTTCCTGCGTACAGTACCACCCTACTTCCATCAGGCTGATGTTTGGTTGAAGATGCTTCAATACTTTGACTGGAATCAGGTGGTATTCATTCACAGTATGGACATAGAGGGTCGCATGATTCTCAATCGATTCCAGTCCAAGGCAGATGAAATTTCTGTAAGTAGATAGTTGATGGAATAGGATTCATGTATAGATACATGAATTTGGCTGATATCCTAGTTGAAGGCTTTTTAGCTCACCTGAGCCGAAGGCTCAAGTGAGCTTTTCTGATCACATTTTGTCTGTAGTCCGTCTGTCCGTCCGTCTGTCTGTCTGTCTGTAAACTTTTCACATTTTCGACTTCTTCTCAAGAACCGCTGGGCCAAGTTCAACCAAACTTGCCACAAAGCATCCTTGGGTAAAGGGGATTCAAGTTTGTTCAAATGAAGGGCCACGCCCTCATTCAAGGGGAGATAATTGGGAATTAATAAAAATTTGGTGGCATGTTTTAAAAATCTTCTCAAGAACCACTGTGCCAGGAAAGCTGAAAATTATATGGAAGCATCCTCAGGTAGTGTAAATTCAAGTTTGTTCAAATCATGACCCCCGGGGGTAGGGCGGGGCCACAATGGCCGACCAAAGTTTTACATAGAAATATATAGGAAAATTCTTTAAAAATCTTCTTCTCAAGAACCACTGTGCCAGAAAAGATGAAACTTATATGGAAGCATCTTCAGGTAGTGTAGATTCAAATTTGTTCAAATCATGACCCCCGGGGGTAGGGCGGGGCCACAATGGCTGACTAAAGTTTTACATAGAAAGATATAGGAAAATTCTTTAAAAATCTTCTTCTCAAGAACCACTATGCCAGAAAAGCTGAAACTTATATGGAAGCATCTTCAGGTAGTGTAGATTCAAGTTTGTTCAAATCATGACCCCTTGGGGTAGGGTGGGGCCACAATGGCCGACCAAAGTTTTACATAGAAATATATAGGAAAATTCTTTAAAAATCTTCTTCTCAAGAACCACTAAGCCAAAAAAGCTGAAACTTATATGGAGGCATCCTCAGGTAGTGTAGATTCAAGTTTGTTCAAATCATGACCCCGGGGGGTAGGGCAAGGCCACAATGGCCGACCAAAGATATAGGAAAATTCTTTAAAAATCTTCTTCTAAAAAATAACAAAGCCATAATTGACCATATTTATATGGAAGCATCCTCAGGTAGTGTAGATTCAAGTTTGTTCAAATCATGACCCCCAGGGGTAGGGCGGGGCCAAAATGGCCAACCAAATTTTTTGCATAGAAATATATAGGAAATTTTAAAAAAATTTCTCAAGAATAGCAAAGCTATGATTGGTCATGGCACTACTTTTGGATTTAAACTTTTCAATAATAAACCAATTTCTACTTTTTCCTAGCCACAGTGCTCACGTGAGCGATGTGGCCAATGGGCCTCTTGTTTGTTGAAGTGTGCTTTATTATGCAGGACCAGATGAAAGAGCAAGAGCATATCTATATCTGTACATAGGTTTTAACTAAACATTGTGTTCATTTACAGATTGAGAAAGTAATTAAGTATCCATCTGGTGATCAAGATTATAAATCCTACCTACGTCAGTTAAGCAGCTTACAGTCTCGAGTTGTTCTGCTGTCAGCAATGTAAGTGGCTGATAATAGATACAGGTTTCAATGAATGAAATATAGTGAATCTGATGTAAGACATACCTGCATGTTATTTTATTTTATTCATTGTTTTATGTATACATATTACTGTAAAATCACATATATTCATGGGGTCAAATTTTTTATTTTTGAGGAAAAAATCTTGGTTTGTGGGGACTTGATTTCGTGCATGGAGAATGTTTTAGTATTTAAATGTAACTTACATTTTACATGTCATGATGGTCATAAATTCAAGGGTCTCTCCTTGCCTCGAAAAACTACGAAAATCCCCAGGAAAATTAGTGATTTCACAGTATGTAAATGTAGATGTATTTTGTTGCAGGCAGGAGGATGCTGACCAGATTTTCCAGGATGCTAAAGCACTTAACTTAACAGGAGAAGGATATGCATGGATTGTCAGTGAACAGGCCCTGAGTTCTCCCTACGTACCAGAGGGTAAAGATTTCTACAGCCCCCTCCCCCCTCACAACACACACATGTATACACATAACCAGAGGGTAAAGATTTCTACAGCCCCCTCCCCCCTCACAACACACACATGTATGGGATACACATAACCAGAGGGTAAAGATTTCTACAGCCCCCTCCCCCCTCACAACACACACATGTATACACATAACCAGAGGGTAAAGATTTCTACAGCCCCCTCCCCCCTCACAACACACACATGTATGGGATACACATAACCAGAGAGTTAAGATTTCTACAGCCCCCTCCCCCTCGCAACATAACTAGAGAGTTAAGATTTCTACAGCCCCCCTCTCCCCCTCACAACACACACATGTACTGGGGTATACACAGAACCAGAGGGTAAAGATTTCTACAGTCCCCCCTCCCCCCACAACACACACATGTATACACATACACACACTTTTTAAGAAGCACCTCTAATCCAGCTCACTCACCTCTAACAGTGATTGGGAAGGCAAAAAAGGTTAATGGGACTATGATGCAACATTGCTAAATATTGAATACGCACCTTGGCGCCACCATTGATTGATTTAATGCGCTATTTTTCACTTCAATGCAACTATGGCGTGTGGCGCAAGCCCTGCTCTAAGGTAGCTGTACCTCGTATTCATCTTGTTAAGAATTAAGACTCGTGCATCAATATCATATAAAGTTATATAGAGTTAGAACTTAACTGTCCATCACACACTGTCAGAAGTAAGTACTTTTTGTGTTTAATATAGACATATTAGAGATATGAAATATTGCCAATATTTAGTACATTGGAATGATACTACATGTACTGTATAAGAGAAATTTTCGCCTCCGTTTTATTTTCGCCCCTTTCACCATTGTCACCAGTGGGTGAATTTAAAACGGGGCAAATTTAAAGAACACAGTATAAATTCTTAAACAGAACTGGGACTAGGCGAGTTTGTAAGCAAGTGTAAAAGGCTGAAAATAACAAGGGTCGAAAAAAAACCTGTATACAGTATATCATTTCTTTTTTTTAGGTCACCTGAGTAAACTCAGGTGACCTATTGCTATCTGTTTTCGTCCGTCGTCGTTCGTCGTGCGTCGTGCGTCGTTCGTCGTGCGTTAACATTTGAACATTTTTAGCTTTTTCTCTGCAACCACTGAACCAATTTAAACCAAATTTGGCACAAAGCATCTATGGGTGAAGGGGAACAAAAATTATGAATTTCATGATCCCTGCCCCCCTGGGGCCTGAGGGGTGGGGCCAAAAGCACTAAAATTAATGCAATCTTTAATAATTTTCTTCTTTACTCCTGGACAGCAGTCAAACTGTTTGCATGATTGTAATCAGCAATGAGTCCTCTACCAAGATTGTGAAATTCATGGCCCTGGGGTCAGGGGTTCTAGTGCTAGGGCGGGGCTAAATAAGTAGGTAGTGAAAATGCATTATTTCTTTGAAAATCTTCTTCTCTGCACCTGGGTATTAAATAAACCAACTAAGTACATAGTTATGATGAGCAAGAGTGCCTCTACCAAAATTGTGAATTTTATGGCCCCAAGGACAGGGGTTCTGGTGTTAGGGCGTGGCTCTATTGATTATATAGTGAAAATACATGAATTCTTTGAAAATCTTGTTCTCTGCTCCTGGGTATTGAATAAACTAACTAAGTACATAGTTATGATAAGCAAGAGTGCCTCTACCAAAATCATGAATTTTATGGCCCCAGGGTCAGGGGTTCTTGTTTTAGGGTGGGGCTCTAATGATTATATAGTGAAATGCATGAATTCTTTGGGGAGCCAGTCAAAGCGCCCCCTAATAAAAACGTCCCGGTCAAAGCGTCCCCTAATTTTAGTCAAAGCGCCCCCTGATTTTGGTCAAAGCGCCCCTAACATATTTTTATACAAAAAATATCTCCCGCAAATATTGGTCAAAGCGTCCCCTAATTTTAGTCAAAGCGTCCCCTGATTTAAGTCAAAGCGCCCCATGATTTTGGTCAAAGCGTCCCTTAACATTTTTTTATAGAAAAAATACCGCCCGCAAATATTGGTCAAAGCGTCCCCTAATTTTAGTCAAAGCGTCCCCTGATTTAAGTCAAAGCGCCCCATGATTTTGGTCAAAGCGTCCCTTAACATTTTTTTATAGAAAAAAAATACCACCCCCAAATTTTGGTCAAAGCGTCCCCTGATTTTAGTCAAAGCGCCCCATTATTTTGGTCAAAACGCCCCATAATATATTTTTGCAGAAAAAAAAAACGTTTCGAGTCGATCCCCAAGAAATGGTCAAAATGTCCCCTGATTTGGTCAAAGGGCCCCTTTATAGAATTTTTTCGGGTAACTGCAAAACAATGATAATATTATAAATACAAAACTTTTTTTTTACCGTAACATGTTTGTAAAAATATATTAGGGGGCGCCTTGACCAAAATCAGGGGACGCTTTGACCAAAATCAGGGACGTTTTGACCATTGCTTGGGGACGGTTCCAAGACGATTTTTTCTAAGAAAAAATGTAAGGGTGCGCTTTGACCAAAATCAGGGGACGCTTTGACCAATATTTGGGGGCGTTTTGACCAATATTTGGGGGTGGTTTTGTAACATCATTTTACTGTAAAATTCTATAAGGGGCGCTTTGACCAAAATCAGGGGACATTTTCACCAAAATCAGGGGACGCTTTGACCAAAATCAGGGGACGCTTTGACCGGGACGGTTTTATTATGGGGCGCTTTGACTGGATTTCATTCTTTGAACATCTTATCCTTTTCTATTGGTTAATATGCTAATGATCTAATTACATATCTAAGGCCAGGATTTATTTTATTTTCAGTTTTACAAACCCCCCGATCAAGGTTTTGAATTTTTAGAAAAAAATAAAAAAAAATTTCTTTCCGATGTCAAATTTGAGTCGGGATCGAGATTTCAAATTTACGAACTCGCACTTCCGGTTTTAATTTGAAACGGCGGGTAAATAAAGCTAGATCCAAGAATTTAGCTTGGTTTAGTGTAAAATTCATCGATAAGAGTGCCATTCAAAACGTTTCACCCGTTCAAAGGACAAATAAAATGCTGACGACTTTGTTGCACAATGACATGCGGGTGAGATAATTATGTATTCGTTTCAAAAGTAACTGTAAATTATTTTCCTCTCCCAGGTTTTAAATGCCCGTGGTAGCTATTGCATATTGCCAGGGACATTGTTTAGGTCTCTGTTATAGCTTACAGTCTAAGCATCATTCTTCAGAAAATGGTTGCTTATGCATCAGATGTAATGAATAAAACTATGGGAGAAGTGAAGTCCATTTGAGGAAGAAATAAACAATAACCTGAAGTGAAGAAATAAAAAAAAAAATTCAACTATTAAAAGGCAAGAATATACAAATATATACAGGCATGTAGTATCATTTGTATCAGCCAGAAAAATTATTTTACACTTAATTGAAAAAATGTTGACCCTACTCCCCAATACTTCCTGTCTGTTTTATGATAGGAATTATAATTTTAGGCATCAAGTAAATTTTAGAACAATGTCTACACATTCACCTAACACATATTAAAAAAATGAAGATATATTGAAAGACTTTTAAAGAATTGATTTTTTAGCTCACCTCAACGAAGTTGGGGGAGCTTATGTAATACCCTCGGCGTCGGCGTCGGTGTCGGCGTCGGCGTCGGCGTCCCAGGTTAAGGTTAAGTTTTTTGGAGCAGTTTTCTTTTTAAGTACTTCTATGTCCTATATTGATTAGACATGCATGGAAGATGGTTCTAGTGTGTTTCATTGTACCAGTCAAAGTTTCAGATGCTGCAGTTTCAGCAAAGGAATGACCAGGTTAATGTTTTTGGAGCAGGTTAACATTTTTGGTGCAGTTTTTGGTTTAGATTTCATTTCCAAGTAACTATTAGCCCTATGTTGACCAAACTTGCATGGATGATACATCTAAGGATGCATACTACCGGGCTTGCTTCGGATGCTGAATCTGACCTACATTTTCCGGTTGAGTGAACAGGTTAAAGTTTTTGGTTCAGGTTTCATTTCCAAGTAACTACAAGTCCTATGTTGACCAAACTTGCATGGATGATACATCTAAGAATGCATACTACCGGGCTTGCTTCGGATGCTGAATCTGACCTACATTTTCCGGTTGAGTGAACAGGTTAAAGTTTTTGGTGCAGGTTTCATTTCCAAGTAACTATAAGCCCTATGTTGACCAAACTTGCATGGATGATACATCTTAGAATGCATACTACCGGGCTTGCTTCGGATGCTGAATCTGACCTACATTTTCCGGTTGAGTGAACAGGTTAAAGTTTTTGGTTCAGGTTTCATTTCCAAGTAACTATAAGCCCTATGTTGACCAAACTTGCATGTATGATACATCTAAGGATGAATACTACATGTACTGGGCTTGCTTCGGATGCTGAATTTGACCTACATTTTCCAGTTGAGTGAACAGGTAAAAGTTTTTGGTGCAGGTTTCATTTCCAAGTAACTTTAAGCCCTAAGTTGACCAAACTTGCATGGATGATACATCTAAGGATGCACACTACTGGGCTTGCTTCAGATGCTGAATCTGACCTACATTTTCTGGTTGAGTGAACAGGTTAAAGTTTTTGGTGCAGGTTTCATTTCCAAGTAACTATGAGTTCTTTAATGACCAATCTTGCATGGATGATACATCTAAGGATGCATATACCAGGCTTGCTTCGGATGCTGAATCTGACCTACTTTTTGTGGATGAGTGAAAATGTTAGTTTTTGATATATGTTTCATTTCCAATTAACTATGAGCCCTATAATGAGCAAACTTGCATGGACGATACATCTTAGGATGCACACTAATGGACTTGCTTCGGATGCTGAATTCGACATACATTATTCAGATAATAGACCAGGTAAAAGTTATGGTTGCAGGTCTATTTCCAAAAAACTATAAGGCTAATATAACATAGTATAAACCAAACTTGCACAAATGTTGCATCAAGAGATGAAAACTCTCAAATTGCTTCAGATGCTGGATTTTTATTACATTTTCATTAAGAAGAACTAGTTTAAATTTTTTATGTAGGTCTATTTCAAAGTATCAGATCAAAATTGCTTAAATATTTTCATTTTTGGAATGTACACTTTTTGTTGGTTAATTGTGTGACTTTGCCTTACTTAAAGACAACATTCGTTGAGGTGAGCTCTGTAATCTCTGATTACCTATGTTTAAAATATATTTTGATCAACATCACAAAATTTATATAACTGGCCCAAACTGGCAGATGATGAAATAAGCAATTAAATGTTTTACTTTCCTATTTGTAAGCATTATGTGTCCAGTGGTAAGGAGCCTATTAGGATAGCATAAAAAAAGAATGTACAAATGTTAATAATTGATTTATCAAAAAAATTTATTTCCTTTTCCTTCGGGATTTTTTATTCTCATGTTCATAACTAAACTTAAACATAAAAAAAAAATGCTGGCCTTATAATGAAGAAAGGGGCCTCTTTCAAAATAGATAATTTCAGGGCTGCTGGGTCAAGGGTACCAAGGGGGTACTTTGACTAAAAATGAATTAATGCTTTGGAATCTGCCCTTTGATAAGCAATGGTGCCTCTTTCAAAATTTGTGAATTTCATGGCTTTTGGCTTAAAACACGAACCAAATACAATCGCTGGAAAGTTGTTACATGATACTCAGGTGACCTATAAGGCCCGTGGGCCTCTTGCTTCTTTCAATACCCATTTTGATGAAATCACAGGAATAATTTTATAAGATGTTGTGTCTTATATTCAAACTTGGCTACGATGAAGTTTTCCTGTTTTATATAATGCCACATGTTTAAAAATTAATTGGAGGGCAAATAGGATTACTGCATGTATACTATTATGTTGCCTGGTTTTCATTGTAAATTAATTCAATAACAATTCAGTCACACATTTTCAAGTCTGAAGGGTTCTTTTGTCTATCCAAATAGAGGACAAAACAACTTTGTTAATGGTTTTCACAGTACAATGCTTCATTTAATTATGATTTCGAAGTAGTCACTTAAATGTTATTGGTATAGCTCTAATGCATTTTAATTAGTTATTTGCATGGAAACACCTATATACCTGGTCTAAACTCTGTTGTATATAGGTACCCTGGGACTGAAGTTATTCCTTGGGAACAATGAGAAGGAGCACCTGGAGGACTGTGTCAGTCTGATAGTACAGACCATCAAGGAGCTGGTTAATGGAACTCTGTCAGAGATAACAGACACCCCTAACAGCTGTAACACCACCTCCTCCACCTGGCGGGCCGGCAATACCATCCTAAAGTAGGTCACTTTGTAGCTGATTGAAAAAAAACTATGTATTTTTATGAAGGGTAATAACCATGATAACTAACCATAAAATTGTAGACACTCCTAACTAACTGTGAACAGAATGGCAATATACTGGTATACAAGGAAGTCTCTTTATGCTTTAAAAATTCTTGAATGGGACATAAAACAACATACAATCAATCCAACTTTTTTCCAGGGCTCTGTTGGATGCCAAGTTGGAAAAAGGCAAGACTGGACAGATAGCCTTTGACTCCTCAGGGGATCGCCTGAATCCTGTCTACTATTTCCAGAATGTTCAGCTGAAGAATGGAAAGCCTAGCATTGAAAATATTGGCTTTTATGGAAATCCAAAGGTTTAAGATTTTTACAAGTTTAATTCTGTATTTTATTGTCCCCTGCTTTCGTGAAAGCGAGGGGACATTAAATCTCATTTGTTTGTCTGTCTGTCCATCCATCAGTCTGTCACAAAAACTTTAACCTTGCCATAACTTTTGATTAAGTGGAGCTATGACTTTCATATTTCACATGTGTATTCCTTGTGAGAAGACCTTTCTTTGAGCACCACCAAAATTGACTTTTTGACCTTGGAGTTTGACACACTCTTACACAAAAATTCCAAACATTTACTTTGGCCATAACTTTTGAATGGTAGATACTAGGACTATCATATTTCACATATATATTGCTTGTGGCAAGACCTTTCATTGGATACCAACAACTTTGATGTCTTGACCTTGTTGACCTTGGAGATTTCCATACTTATGAAAACACTTTAACCTTGGTCATAACTTTTGAACAGCAAGGGCTGGGACTTTCATACTTCACATATGTAATCCTTGTGAGAAGACCTTTCATTGAATACCAAGAACTTTGACCTTGACCTTGAAGTTTGACCTTCTTTTTAAAAACTTTAACCTTGGCTACAATTTTGAACGGTAGATACTCAGACTTTCATATTCCACATATGTATTCTTTGTGGCAAGGCCTTTCATTTGATACCAACCCTTTTGACCTTGATGAGATTTCGGTACTTATAAAAAAACTTTAAGCTTGGCCATAGCTTTTGAATGGTAAGGGCTAGGGCTTTCATACTTCACTTGTGTAATCCTTTTGAGAAGACCTTTAATCGCATACCAAGAACTTTGACTCTCTGATCTTGGAGTTTGACCTACTTTAAAAAATTTTAACCTTGTCCATAACTTTTGAACAGTTAGGTTTAGGGTTTTCGTCGGTTCTTATGTTTTTAGATTCGGTTTCAGGTTTTTCAGCTCGGGTCTATAATAGAATAAAAACTCATGACTTGAATTATATTCAACAAAAACTTTAGATTCTTTAAAATCTAAGAAACAGAAACATAATGACTGGTTTGAATAAGTTTCATAACGAGAAAAATAATTGAATCAAATGATTCAAATCACATTATTACCGTTTTTAATGGTAATAGACTAATGAACCTTCTGTTTTAGACGCGATTTTTATGGTAAAAACCTACTCTATTGTACAAATCGGATCCGAACCGGATTCCGGAAAAACAGAACATAACCGACCCGAATTAATTGTTCCACGGTTCTGGGTCATTTCAGGTACCCGTGACAGGCCTATCCTTCACATATTTAATCCTTATGGCAGGACTTTTCACTGGGTATCAAGAACTTTGACCCTTTGACCTTGACCCTGTAGTTTGACCTACTTTTAAAAAACTTTAACCTTGTCCATAACCTTTGAATGGTTAGAGTTAGGGTTTTCATCCTTCACATATGTAATCCTTATGGCAGGACCTTTCATTTGTTATCAAGAACTTTGACCCTTTGACCTTGACCTACTTTTCAAAAATGTATCCTTGGTCATAACTTTTGAACAGGTGGTGCTAGGGATTTCGTATTTCACAATTGTATTTCTTATAAAAAGACCCTACTTTGGGTATTAATATATTCAATTTGCATTTAAGAAAAGTTTAATCTTCACTATGTTGGCATAGGGGGGAATAAGTGTTTAACAAACACATCTTGTTCCTTATATTGAGAAGAGATTAGGGCTTTCATATTTGACATATGCATTACCTGTGACAAGATATTTCCAAGCATGCTATGATTTCTGACCCCTTGACCTTCACGATTTACCTCATTTTTAAAAAATCAATTTCAGTGATAATTTCTAAATGACATGTATAATAGGGCATTCATATTAGACACAAGATGTCATAAAAAATGACATCTCACCCACAAAGACACCAAAAGCGGGGGACCACAATTCTTTGAATTTGCTTGCTGTTTTAATATTTTATTAATAATTTATTTTTTACTCATGATTTTAAGATATGTGAAAACAAAAAAGAAAAAGCTTCATGTATGATTCGAACTCTCTCTATAGCACAGGGTTTGGCGCAAGATCCTCCATATTTACCACTTTGCTACGAAGTATATGTGTTATAGATGTATGTCAGTGTTATTTAAATGAACAGGTTGTTGGACAAATGAAATAGATTTCACATTTATGTTTCCATCATTGAAGCGTTAACGAAGAATTGAACCCAAAAATTCATTTTTTATGGCACTAGTGGACATTTTCGGTTGGGTAAACATTTACAAAAATAACGACTACGGATCTTCACTATGGAGCGCAGTATGCGCAATAATATTTAAAGTAAAGTATATAAAGTATTTTAAACTGTTTTTTACACCTTGAATGGGATGTCGTCAAACATCGCTAATGGTTTTTTTTAAACATGAACAACATACCATATTTACATACCATACAACTTTGCATTCTTAACAAAAATAAAATTAAGTTGGGTTAATAAAATAAAATTGGTCCAAGAATTCCAGGCCCTTAAGAACTAATCCAGTTTGAGGGCACAGCCAAGCATTTTCGATGAACACAATTAAGTAAATTTAACTCATGTAGGTAGCATCATTTTTTTAATTGGGGTTGGGGGTGGGGTGGGATGTAAGAATAGTCAGAAAAAAACCGACTTGCTCGAAGAAACCTGAAACGTAAGATAAGTTTCAAAATCTTTCATTACTAATTTTATTCCTGAACTTCAACATTACCTTATTTAACTATACTGCAACAAAAATTGGGAAAGGGGGGGGAGGCAATGTTCAATGAACATTTTCAACAGTGGGGGGAGAGGGCAGATACATAAAGTAGCTTTATTTTCTGTAGTTTATTATATGTTGCAGGGTTGCAAATAACCACTCGCCCACTCGCAAATGCGAGTAAATTTTCCTGTGGGCGACCAGCTCTTGAGAATATTATCGCCCACATGGCAAGTAAGAATTTTATCGGACCTTTTCCAGAATCAAATCGTAGTTTGGTTCAACTATCCAATGTACTTTCTTTTCATATCCCAGGCGGATTTTTCCGTGTTTGATCATTCAAGTGATTCCATTTTTCAAATATTAATTGTAGCTTTATTTGAGATACAAAATATGTCAATCTAGTCAACGTTTACCTTAAATTTAAAGAGTAATCATTATTGAACAAGAATCCCCCCATTCTTTTTCTGCCGCTATAGGCAGCCATGTTGGCTGTCCACTGTAAATATAACACCTGGTTAATTCAGTCCAGGTATGTTTGGCTCCTTTATTTATGAAAAAAAAAATCAACCGAAATACCGACCCTTGGTTATTTGGGAATGTTACAAAAATCAAATATTTCTTAAGCCTAATTCAAAATACATGCCCTGAAACAACTTAAATCAAAAGAAACAAAATTGAATTGAATGACAACATGGAATTTCATACATTGAGTAGTGTAAAAAGTCTTCAGGAAATTTTTGAAAAGAAATAATGAAATACTATGGCCATAAAGTATTTTTTGCTTATGTTTTCATATGAAAAGATTTTTTACAAAGTGAAAAAAAAAAATTGTGGGCCCCATAAAATCAATGTGGGCTGGTAAAAATTGTGAAGTTGGGGGCCCACATGGCCCCCAAGGTTTAAATGTTACTTGCAACCCTGTGTTGCATGATTATATAAGGAGGGGGGCTCCACTGCCCCCCACCTTTACGTTCATAAAACTATAAATTTCATATGTCATTATTAACAATTCATTCCTAACATCTCGAAAATTTTGTGGAATGTGTTCCCAGTATTTCATTTGTTGGAGTAAAGCTCACTCCAGCTTTCAGCATCACACATGTTTTTATTCGAAATTTTTATAACCTACATTTTGAGAATGTACTCGACTTCAAAATTCTGATTCAGAATTTGGAGTCAAGATTTGTAACTATGGATTATTTTGAGCCAAACTCCAAATGTCTGTTTCGAACTAGCCAATGTTGATAATCTAATTGCAAGATTATTTATATTATTTTCAAGGGGTCATAAATACTGTGGTTCATATATAAGGAATATGTTTTATCATTTAGTAGAATTAAGGTTTTGGCATTTGGTATTTTGCGCAGATGTAACATAATACTGTATGGAATACTTTTTTGTTTTGTTTAAAAATGTCGAAAGTATCTGTTAATCATTTTCATTGATTAGATTACGTGTAAATCATTTTTTGTATTAGTATATTTCATTTTGGCACAATATGGTTTCCACACGTCTTTATCCATAGTCGCTAACAGCTGTAGAAGTTCAACCAACCGAAAATGTCCAGTAAACCCATTTTCCACTAAATATGCTTTTAACTGTCAACTTTGAAATAAAGATTGTCAAATGATAAATCATTCAGTAAAAAATAAAATAATTGTTTGTTTTGAAGATGACATTACTGAGAACATGATTTTAGAAAAACATAACTTTTCCGTGAATTTTGAAAATTAAGAAACATATTATTTCAGAGTGGGGGATTGTCCACGCCATGTACACCCTCTTTCATTAATTTTTTCATTTACAGGAAATTTATTTCTAATGAAAATTTCAAATGAATTCTTGAGCAGTATTCACATAAAAACAATATACACTCAAATTACTACTTACTGTGAATCATGTATTGCAATGCGAAAAAAATTAGTGCCTTATGAATGTATGATACAACAAGTAATATTAGGTATCTTTTACTAGGTCATCAGTAATGCTCTAGAAATAAATGAGTCCAAAATAGTTTGGCCAGGCAAGAAGAAAACCAGGCCAAGTGGAATTAACATCTCTACAGAATTAAAGGTATTAGTCTTGTTACTTTGTTAATATTAATTACTGTGGTGACTATAAAAAAAAACTTTCTTCCTTTTGTGAATTGTATCAACCTCCCTTTGAGTAAACCCCTTGTTCTGTCAAAGTGTTTTTAATTATTATTATTATATATTTAAAGAAAATTGAGCCTTGAGACATAACAAATGATTTTTAAATGATTTATTTTCTGTATTTGTGATGAAAAAATTCTTGCTAGATTGTGACTTTGGAATCTGTGCCGTTTGTATACACCAGAAAGATGACAGAGAGTGACTCATGTAACTGGGATAGGAATGAGAGGTTATGTCCCCTGGTAAATGAAACAACAGGTAAGCCATACATACACATGTACATACAAATTAATGAAAAGGGAGCCATCAGAATGTTCCCATCTTAAGGACAGGCTGGAGGGCCACTTACATAGCTATATTAAACATCTCATCTCACCTCATATACCAGCCTCAAATCTTTCTAGGACAAAAGTTTTGAGAAAAATCTTAAGACTTTTATTCATTGTTGTGTATGTGCAACTTTTTCTCTAAAAATGTACAAAATAATTGCAAGAAGGACTGAAGGAGTAAATTCAGTCTTTTCTTTATTTATTGATTTGATATCAAATTATGTCTTGTATTAATCTATTTTTAGAAAATCAATTTGTTATAGAATTAAAGCATTTTTCATTTATTTAGATTTCTGGATTTTCAAGTACATGTAGTTTAATGAAAAATTGTTAACGAAAAAATTACCAGAATAATTGAACAGATTAATAGTCAAGTTAAGCAGAAGAGTTTAGTAGATCCATGAGCATTTAATTGTATGGAGTAGTGCAGTTTACTAGTAAATTGTGATAGGGAGATACTCCCTACGGTTGTGGTATATGTAGTAGAGAGATACTCCTACAGTTGTGGTATATGTAGTAGGGAGATACTCCTACAGTTGTGGTATATATTGTAGGGAGATACTCCTACAGTTGTGGTATATATTGTAGGGAGACATTCCTACAGTTGTGGTATATATTGTAGGGAGATACTCCTACAGTTGTGGTATATATTGTAGGGAAATACTCCTACAGTTGTGGTATATGTTATAGGGAGATACGGCTACAGTTGTGGTATATATTGTACTATATATTGTAGGAAGATACTCCTACAGTTGTGGTATATATTTTAGGGAGATACTCCTACAGTTGTGGTATATCTTGTAGGTATTAAAGAAGACTACTGCTGCTGGGGCTACTGTATAGACATGCTGATACAGATAGCAGATATGGTCAACTTTACCTACTCTATACATTTGGGCTCCAGTGGAGAGTTCGGATCCTACAAAAAGGTAGCTTTTATCATAACAATTATGGTAAAAATTTTCATTATTTTCTGGAGGGAAAAAACTCTACTTTTAGGCATGCCATGTGGCGGAATTTTTTTCATTCATATCTGATATCAATTTTCTGTTTATCCCTGCTTCTTCCCATACCAATATATTCTCATTAGAGTGTATAAAATATTACATGCATCATTTCAAAGAGGGTTTTTTTACTAGTGAGCATTGGCTTACAGACTCAATGTTGCTATTGTAGGGACAAGTCTTAACAGTATGATGATTGTTTTCAGGTGAATAAGACTGGGGAGAAGAAGTGGAATGGCATCATTGCTGAACTCATTGATAAGGAAGCAGACATGATTGTAGCTCCACTGACCATAAACCCTGAGAGGGCTGGACGCATTGACTTCTCTAAGCCATTCAAGTACCAGGGCCTGACCATTCTTGTCAGAAAGGTTTATCTCTATAATGTTATTGATACATGTATTGATGTGTTATTAACGCACACTCCTGTGAAATTGCCAGACATACTTCTATACATTTTTGTTCATCTGATGCACATTTTTATTATCAGCATGCTATTATTGTCTATAAAGTACAGCTGATCAAGTTTGTCTAAAGAAGGAAGTTTTCTACCTGTCAAAAAAAAAAAATTCTATGGGAGTGTGTGGGTTTGCTCCTCTAGAAGTTTTCAGATAAATGTTTATAAAATTTGCATTTTTAGAGCACATCTGGAAGTCATTTCTAGAATAAGCACAAATAAATATAATTATTTTAAGTGGTATATGCATTTTTTATCAGTGGAGGATATTTTCCTTTACTAAAACTGAAAGGGAAATTTTTGCAATTTTTCAAAAGCTGAGAGGTCTGTTTACTGGAAGCTTTGATAAACCCCTGTAAGGTCAAAGGTTTATTTAAAAAATAAGGAAGAAAAACAAAACAAAAATGAATAACTGGTCCAATGGATTATTTTTTTCAAAGAAAACCGTGCCATAATTATGGTAGAACCTTATTTGTCCTGATGCTTTAGCCTTTGGTTTCCAGTCAAAATCTTTCAAATAGGATACACGATTGTATCTGAATTGCTTTTATTTTAGTTAGTTAATTATATGGCCTCAAATATCATTAGCAATAGTAAAGAATGTTGTGTTATATCAAAATGCTTTAAGTTTAAATACTTTAATTTTCATAAGCATTAATAATAATATTTGTTTAAACAAATAAAATGTACATTGGATTCCTTTTATATTGAATATACTCTAGTACATCTGTGATGAAGTTATCAATCTTAATTGTGTAGACAGCTACCGAGTCTAAACTGGACTCCTTCCTACAACCGTTTGAGGACACGCTGTGGATTCTGGTGGCGCTGTCTGTACACGTGGTGGCCCTGGTCCTCTACCTCCTGGACAGGTTCAGTCCCTTTGGTCGCTTCAAGCTGGCTAAGAATAATGACACGGAGGAGGATGCCCTTAATTTATCAAGTGCCATGTGGTTTGCCTGGGGAGTCCTCCTCAACAGCGGAATAGGAGAAGGTGGGAAATTATTTTACTTTTGTATTGGAGAATGATTTATATAAATAAATTTCATTCATACACTTTATCTTCTTTACTCCTGAACTTCTAGAAAAAAAGATTCATGAATATTTTTAATTATGTAGTCCTGTAAAACTTCTGTGACATGAAACTTAGTTTTAGGTTGGTCAAAGCATGAGAAGTGATGAAACTATGAAGACCAATGGGCCTCCTTTTCAATAAACTTACCCTATAGTTTAATACAATATCTTTAAAATTTGGTTGACATATAGACTACACTATAATGCATATTTTTTTTATATTTACATTTGCAAATGTTTTCCTTTATATAACACTACTGGAAGCAATGCGTATCTATAACTGTATAAATACCGGTACGGGGGCAAGAGGTCATAGATGTGCGTATGGGTAATCGTTCGACATAATTTCTCTGTGACGTCATAATGGGTCGACACCCGTTCAGTGGATTACATACATGCTGTTGGGTTTGTAAAATAACGCATTTCACACGTTTAAAGTCACAATCACACAAATATAAAGTATGAATAAGTCACAAATATAAATATAAGTAATAAGGTATCATTTTAAAACATCTATCGGGTTATAAATACGGGTTGGTACGAGATTAAATTCATCATAAAGCATGGAATTTAATCTCGTGACCAACCCTTATTTATATCCCGATAGATGTTTAAAAATGATACCTTATTTCTTAAATGAATCTTGCATAATTATGAATCATATGATATAAACATTTGTCATATTTGGGGTTACACATGAACTTAAATAAGTTTAGCTAGTTGAGAAGTGTACTGTATTTAGATAAATAATAATCAGCATTATGGTTTAATAAGAATTTTTTTTACACAGGTACCCCGAGAAGTTTCAGTGCCCGGGTTCTTGGTATGGTATGGGCAGGCTTTGCTATGATCATTGTGGCATCATACACTGCTAACCTAGCTGCCTTCCTTGTCTTAGACAGACCTGAAGCTTCCATTACTGGGATTGATGATGCCAGGGTCAGAGTTCAAGCCATAAGTATACTTAATTAACATCAAGAAAACACAACACACTGAATGTCCTAGTGTTGTAAATAGCCTGAAAGCATACATCTAAGTACTAACTTCTAAAATAATGGAAATATATGTTTGATTGAAATTAAAAGGAAAAAAACTAACAATTTTTAGGTCACCAGAGTTTACTCTTTTGCTCAATGAAGGATGATCATATTCAGGTGACTGTATGGTATAGACCTTGGGTTTGAATTGACTGCAAGTTTAGAGCTGTTAACTAGATGTATTTAATATTTAGCTTCTATTTTTGTCTTGTAGCTGAGGAACCCAAATGAAGATTTTAAGTATGCCACAGTGAGAAATAGTGCAGTGGAAATGTACTTCAAACGACAAGTGGAACTTTCCACCATGTACCGTCAGATGGAACCACGGAATTACAAGACGGCTGATGAGGCAATCAGAGACATTGTTAACATGTAAGTCATTAGTAGGGAACTATGAGGCAATCAGAGACATTGTTAACATGTAAGTCATTAGTAGGGACAAGACGGCTGATGAGGCAATCAGAGACATTGTTAACATGTAAGTCATTAGTAGGGACAAGACTGATGAGGCAATCATTGTTAACATGTAAGTCATCAGTAGGGCTGTATGAATATATCGATATATCGGCAATCAGAGACATTGTTAACAATAACTTCCAATATGTATCATTAAGTTCTGTTTAAAAGATGGGAATTTCAATCAACAAAGATTATATTTTACTTTTTTGAATTAAAAAGTTCAATAATTATATAATTTCTAAGGAAATAACAAAGTTTTTATCAATATTACAAAATAAAAAGATAAATTTATTTGAACATGTTGATTTAACTGTCATCAAAAGTTTTAATTGAAGTGTTATTTTTAAAGAAAATGAGACAAGAACTTTAAAATGGGTAATAAAACAGTTAATTGTTATGAAATGTATGCATTAAAATGATTTAGAAGCCTTTTCTAATAGACTTCTTTTAGAATCCAATATATCGCATATCGCTTTAAAAAATATTGTATCGTATCATATCGAAAATTTTGGCTCAATACACAGCCCTAGTCATCAGTAGGGATGAGACGGCTGATGAGGCAATCAGAGACATTGTTAACATGTAAGTCATTAGTAGGGATCTACAGGGATTAGTCTGTTCCTCCATCCTTCTGTCAATCTGATTTCTTTTTTCAGAGTCTATCGTTTTTTTTTATACTTGTCACAGTCTGGCTCAATCTTCACCTGTTTTAATGCTCCTCAATAAAATGAAGAAAATTATGATCAATATTTAGTTGAAAAAAATCCTAAGACTACACCAATTTATTTGAGTTGGCCAGCAACGCCAAACAAAGCTTATTTTATTTTTGGCGTAGTAAAGGGCAGATTTGGTAGATACACATTGTAACCTTTGTATATCATCATTGTTAAGTCCGTTATCTAAGATGATCTTTATTCTTACTTAATTCTAGGAAACTACAGGCCTTTATCTGGGACTCGTCTCGCCTGGAATATGAAGCAGGACAGAACTGTGACCTCATCACGGTGGGGGACTTGTTTGGGCGGTCAGGACTGGGTGTGGGGCTGCAGAAAAAGAGTCCATGGACCTCCAAAATCTCAATGGCTATTCTCAAGCTACACGAGAGTATGTTGCCTTACATTTTATAAATGGTAATCCAAGAACGTTGGGAATTGTCATTGTCTGTACTAAGTTCAAAGAAGTTATATACAAATGCTTGAAACATTGCACATTTGAGCAAGTCTTTTTTTGTTTCTTGCATTTTAGCAAAATGCTGGGAAACATGCTAATAGCTGAGCATTTATCAACTATTTATCAACTTAACTAATAGCTGATCATATTGTGTAACTGCATTAGTGTTCATGTAGCCCTCTCTCTGATTGTATTCATTTTTTCCTATAGAAAAAAATCAGGAGAGGCTACATTATTGCAGCTACCTATTGCTAATCATCATGATCAATGGCTATTCATTTTTATTAGTTGACTTTTGAAGAGTTTAAACTTCTCTTAATTATGAAACTTTTTGGTCAAATGATTTAAAATTAGTTATTGCTTGATATAGATTTAAAGTGTAATATACTGAATGTGCGAATGTTTTTACATATGAAATAAAGAGCTGCATTCTGTTTGACTGAACCATTATCATTCATGACTTTATCAGTACATGTCAAAGAACCTACTTTTAATGTATAAGAATATTATCCGGGCCTTTAACACAAGATTTCCAAACAATTTTGTTATTTCTTTTGGTTGAAACTCATGCAGAGTGACCTTATTGTAGAGGGAAATATGGAGGATCTTGACAATAAATGGATTCTAGAGGGAAGGAACGATTGTCCTGAGAAAGACACGACCCCCGCCACGCTGGGGCTGACTAACATGGCCAGTACGTGATCCTCACAATCATACAGTAATTTATAGCATACTCAAACTAGTGAAGATGTATGCTAGCTCAATTTTAGAATTATTCCTCATTCTTAAATACATTTATGTCATTTAATTGGAATATTTTTATACGCCCGTCTTAAGACGGGACGTATTATGTTATAGGCTTCATGTCCGTCTGTCCATTCGTGTCCGGCTCATAACTTGAATACTATTAGACCTAGGATTATCAAACTTTGACAGTTGATACTTCTTGGGTAGACGGTGTGTCGCGCACAAAAAATAGGTCGATCTGACCTTTAATAAAGATGCTATGGCCAAATATGGAAAAATCCTGTCCGGCTCGTAACTAGAAAACTATTATACCTAGAGCTTTCAAACTTGGCAAAATTATACATCTTAGGTAGAAGGTGTGTTGCGGCCTATTTCAAGATCACTGTGACCTTTAATTTAAGTGATTTTTTTTTAAAAACTAAGTCTTTAAAATTTTAAATTTCATAATCCTTAAAAATGTAAAAATATAGTTGTATCCTTATCTAAAAATGTTAAATCAAGTAAAAACTTATTTTTTCATATTCATATACTTTACAGCAATCTGTAACAAATGTTAATGTTTTGAGAGGAATTCAGTTTGTCCCATGGGCATAATTATCAAGCACTGGTCAAGAAGAATTTTGATAGCAGAAATTTGCATGTCAAATTAGAGAGAAATTAATGAGTTTATTGTTAGGAGCTAACTGGTAGAGCAGATCTCTGATAATGCAGCTGTTATCTTTATCTTTAATCTCTTGGAAGTTGGGCAAAAAGAAGTGGCCTCATACGAGGGTTGTTAGAAAAGTTCGCGGACACATTGAGTTACGGAAAATCTATTGTGTACTGTAAAGCATGACCTATGTCTGAATAAATTCCTACATTCTGTTTATTGGTATGTAAAAAATCAGGTCCATGTAATAAAATTTTGAAATTTTACAAGTATTTTTACTTTGGGGTCATGGGATTCACGGAGCAAGCACTTGACGTAAGCGACGTGACAACCAGATTTCAACCCGTTAAGCCTTGTCGCAGTTCTATAAATCTTTTATTTCTTCAGATTTTTCTTATCTTTTTTCTACTTTAAAATTGAATATCTCTATCAAGACATGTTACTTTTCTACTATAATGTCTTTTGTATTGATTCGGATAATATTGAGATCTTAAAAAATTCTATGCAGTTAATCGAACAGGTATGGAAACTATGCAAAACCATATAAGCGCAACGCAACGTCCATGCGATAAGGGGGTATTGAAGTATCAATGGAGTTAATCACTCAAAATATTACTCCTTCCATTCTTACGAAGCTACAACCATTCGAAAACTTGTTCTTTGTATGTGTAGGAAATTTTCGGCAGCATCTTGAACATCTTAATCTCTTTTAGATATCTTCCTGTCTGCACACATATTTTTTTACGTAGTGCAGTGCTCCATGACGCTCAATGACGTTCCGATTTTTGGCTGTGTTACGCGTGGATCATTTATAAACGGCTATAAACAGTCATATAACCTCCAATTTAGTTCAAATTTTCTCTCAGTGACGTTTCCTGCATGCTTTAGCAGCAGGTAAAATATCATAATTCTTTTTGCGCTACAATTGTGCAATTTTTAATTTTAATAAAGAGTCTTTGTGATGTAAACTTGTCAACATGTAGCATGCTCCGTGAAGCAAGTTTTATCAAAGTAAAAAAGCTGTATATTTTTCAATAATCACCGGAGAGCACCAAATTTTTGTATATTAATTGGAAAAAAGGTTAAAATTTTATCTGGAAAGTTTGACCGCTTTCGTGGAAATAGCGCGCTCACAATAGAACTTGTCCGCGAACTTTTCTAACACCCCTCGTAGTTGCATGTGTTAATTAAGAGTTCTTGATGGCTAGTTTAGAAAAAGATCTTTCAATTGGTGTAATGTAATTAAAACAAATTGATGTTTTAGTGTATGATTAAAACTAAATTAATATTGTATAATATAATTAAAACTAATTATACATGTGTTCATTGAAAAAAAAATTTCATTTCAATTTTTATGGCGTCGAGCTTTAGCTCGGCGCACATATAGCTATGATGAAATATCTCTGACTGTTCACCGCTTTCTTCATGCGCCAAATAATATAGTACTGGAACCAAGACCTTCATGTATCTGGCGTAGGATTATACATGCCACTTTTTGCGTTTATTCCATAAATTGCTTGAAAATCATACAATTTCAACAGTCGGTGGAGGTGTAAACAATTAACTGGAATTGTTTTGACAAATCAAAATTTAAAATGGCTTCCGATAGAACAAGATTGTTATCAAGACCAGCAGGAACAAATTGAACAAAGAGAAAGAGAAACAATATTGATGTACATGTCAAGGAATCTTGGAAAACAACTTTCATCACATAAAATAGTGTTCGAAAACAGTGTAGGTCTTACTGTACATTTAGTACACATTACACTGGTTAATTAAATTAATTAGGCCTAATTATGCCCCCCTTCGAAGAAGGGAGGGCATATTGCTTTGCTGCTATCTGTCGGTCAGTCTGTCGGTCAATTTAGTTTCCGTACATTTTTTTCACAACCGTTGCACATACTGAAATGAAATTTGGTATACAGATTTATCAGGTGAATATCAAGTTCTGTTTTGGGTACGATCGTGCCATTTTTTACAGAGTTATGCTCTTGAACTTAGAAAAATTCCAATTATATTCTATCCATTTGTCCTTAAGGAGATATGAGTGGACATGTATCCAGTTAAAGATAATTAATGAGCTTAGTGTGGGAAGTTGGGCATCTCTGATCATGTGTTATCTATATCTCCTGAGAATTCGACAACAGAAGGAAAGATCTCTCGTCTCTAATTCTCTTAATTTTAATTTATTGCCTGTCAAAACATTTGTTTACCAGCCTTTTTATGCCCCCCTTCAAAGAAGGGAGGGCATATTGCTTTGCTGCTGTCTGTTGGTCTGTCGGTCCACTTTGTTTCCGTTCATTTTCTTTGCAACCGTTGCACATATTGAAATAAAATTTGGTATACAGATATATCACATGAATTTCTAGGCTAAGTTCTGTTTTGGGTCTGATCGCACCATTTTTATACGCCCGTCTTAAGACAGGACATATTATGTTATAGGCTTCATGTCCGTCCATCCGTCTGTCCATTAATGTACTGCTCATAACTTGAATACTATTAGGCCTAGGATTATCAAACTTTGTCAACTAATACTTCTTGGGTAGACGGTATGTCGCGCACAAAAAGTAGTCGCTCTGATCTTTAATAAAGATGCTACAGCCAAATATGGAAAAATCCTGTCCGGCTCATAACTAGAAAACTATTAGACCTAGAGCTTTCAAACTTGGCAAAATATACATCTATGGTAGAAGGTGTGTCGCGGTCTATTTCAAGGTCACTGTGACCTTTAATTTAAGTAAATTTAAAAAAAAAAAAATAAGTCTTTTAAATTTTAAATTTCATAATCCTAAAAAATGTAAAAATATAGTTGTATCCTTATTAAAAAATGTTAAATTAAGTAAAAACTTATTTTTTCATATTCATATACTTTACAGCAATCTGTAACAACTGTTAATGTTTTGAGAGGAATTCAGTTTGTCCCATGGGCATAATTATCAAGCACTGGTCAAGAAGAATTTTGATAGCAGAAATTTGCACGTCAAATTAGAGAGAAATTAATGAGTTTATTGTAAAGCAAGAGCATCTTTAGATCTGATCATGCAGCTGTGTTATCTTAATTTATCTCTTGGGGGTTGGGTAAAAAGAAATGGCCTCATAGTTGCTTGTGTTAATTAAGAGTTCTTGATGGCTATAGTTCAGATAAAGATCTTTCAATTGGTGTAATGTAATTAAAACAAATTGATGTTTTAGTGTATGATTAAAACTAAATTAGTATTTTATAATATAATTAAAACTAATTGTATATGTGTTCATTGAAAAAAAAATTACATTTCAGTTTTTATATATTTGCAATAAATAGCAGTCATGACTCACTTAGAATTTTATAGTCTAAAGAATAATTTATTTTTGATTTTTTATTAGACTGTAGCATTTCCATTATTTCATAAAATATGCAATAAACAATTTAAAGCTGCAGATGGATATTTGTTAAGCTCTAACACAGCCAGTTTAGAATTATATGATGTATTATTTGTTATAATTAATCCCTACACTGTAAGTCTCTTAGAGATGTATGTACAATTATTTTAAACATGATAAGAAATGGAAATTAGATCATCGAAATCTGCATGTGTCACTCTGTTAAACAAGGTTACCTGATTTTCTTGCACCCCAACCAATTTATGATTATTGAACAATATTTGACGGGCGTATCATGCTGTGGCGGGGCACTTTATCGACAGAGTTATGCCCCTTAGACTTGGAAAAAATTTCAATTATTTGCAGTTTCCGTTCATTTACTTTGCAACAGTTGTACATACTGAAATTTTACTGATATTCTACATGAATATCTAAGTCAAGTTCTGTTTTGGGTACAATACGTTGTATTTCCATTAGTGAACTCTTCAGAATTAGAGGTGCGTTTGGTCGTCTGACTGGGACAGCATGGCATTGCGGATAATACAAAACATATTGCCATTATCAATCCAATTTTAAATGTTAAGTGCATTTGTCATTCTAACTAAAGAATAGAAGAATTAAAAGACATATGTAAAAGAGCGAAAACCCTAACTTTATTGTCCATTTATAAAAATACGACATTTCTGAGGTATGTGTATTTACTTTAAATGTACCATTACAATAAATAGATACATACGATCACCAATAGATGTAAATTAATATCTTTGTCATCTCTACTCTTGATTTAAATAAAGTCCACAACAATGAAATATTTCACTTGTATTTTGTTAGGACTTGTTCATCGACATTCAACGTGTTCTTTACATTTTTATGTTACGTTTGTCCCAGAAATCCCGTGAGATTTGTAATTCTCTGACTTTTTCACAAAAGAGCGCACTAAGAACTATAACTCTTCAATAGTGGAAATAGAACGTATTGCACCAATTTTGACAGAGTTATGTCCCTTAGACTTAGAAAAATTCCAATTATTTGCAGTTTTCGTTCATTTTCTTTGTAGAGGTTGCACATACTGAGATGAAATTTGGTACACAGATTTATTAATTAAATGTCTTTGTCAAGTTTTGTTTTGGGTACAATCGCGCCATTTTTGACAGTGTTATGCCCTTTTGGACTTAGAAAAATTTCAATTTAGGGGGAAGGGGGCATAAGTGTTTTACAAACATCTCTTGTTATGAGAGAGGAAAAGTAATTTCAAATCCTCTAAAATTGGAATTACTTTCAAATTTAGCACCAGGGACCTATATATAAACAATATATACATTAGTATATACATGATATAGGTCCCTGTTAGCACAAACCGAAAAGGCTTTTTTTTAAAAATGCAGACTTACCATAATTCAGGTCAATGCTGGACAATGAAACCAATGTTCTTATTTAACATGTCAATTTAATCAATAATTTTTCATCATTGTAAGTAAATAATTCAGTAAAGCCTTTTTTTAAATAGAAGAATTATCAATACATGTACACAAATGACCAGATTTTTACATCTTGGGTGTTGGCAAGTATGGTCCTAATACTCTTTTACTGGGGTACTGACTAGTGACTACACATTAAAACCTGTTCTCAAGCTGTTCAGTTGGACCATATGAATTGAATGCTTTTATTTCATAAATGCTGAAATCGTGATATTTTATCTAGATATACATGTACAGCTAAGCTGTATAATTATTTCACGGTGTCACTGCCATATCTAAAGCGCGGCGCCATTGTGGCCCTTCAGGCCTTCGATTATATATTTGCAACAAATTGCAGTCATGTCTCACTTAGAATTTTATAGTCTAAAGAATAATTTATTTTTGATTTTTTTTATTAGACTGTAGCATTTCCATTATTCCATAAAATATGCAATGAACAATTTAAAGTTGCAGATGGATATTTGTTCAGTTCTAACACAGCCAGTTTAGAATTATATGATGTATTATTTGTTATAATTAATCCCTACACTTTAAGTCTCTTAGAGATGTATGTACAATATTTTAAACATGATAAGAAATGGAAATTAGATCATTGAAATCTGTGTCAATCTGTTAATCAAGGTTATCTGATTAATTCTTACACCTTAACCAATTTATGATTATTGAACAATGTATTTGACGGGCGTATCATGCTGTGGCGGGGCACTTTATTTGTATTCTCCTCCTTGACAATTTTAGGTGTGTTTTTGATGGTAGCGGGGGGCATCATTGCTGGCATTATTTTAATTGTGATTGAGATAGCATACAAGAGACACAGAGGACTGAAGGACAAAGAGTTGGAGCTGGCCAGAAATGCTGCGGACCGCTGGAGGGGGAACATTGAGGTAACCCACACAGACTCAGTAGAATGGCTTGTTAATCAGTATACCCAGAAATTGTTTGAAATATTTGAAACAAAGAATTTGCTTTGGATTGTATGATTCACAACTTTGAAGAAGTTGTACAATGTAGTGAGATTTACTGACTAAAAGAACATTGTGTAATATTACCTTATCTCTAATATTGAACAGCATTTTGAGAATGCCAATTCCAGATAAAGTGAATGTTACTGATTGAAATGTAGCATGAAAACAGAATGGTTTGACAAATCCTTCATTAAATAAATGTCATATTACAGTCCCTGAAACATTCTACTTTCCCATTTTTCCGTTCGCTCACCATTCGTTCAGCGTGCGTTCACCATTCGCTCTCCGTTCACAGTATTGCATTCACCGTTCACCGTTCACCGTTAGCTCTTCGTTCCGTTTACTTTGCGTTCACCTTGCTTTAACCGTTCACTTATCGTTCAGTCTTCATTGTCATTCGGAACTCCGAAGTGAAAGGACTTATCTTTTTGATGGTAAGGATTTACATGTTTATTAATTAAATAAATTAGATATCGTGATTAAAGAATAATTATTTCATTGCAAAAATTATCTATAATATTTATATTTCTATTATTATAATTTAGCTGTTACTTTATTCATGAATTTTCCATGGAAAATAATACATTAAGTACCTACATGTTTGTAGACCGATGCTAAAATATTAAATTTAAAAAAAGGGCAGTGTACAAATGCTTTGCGCACAGCAACGATTTGTTGCAATGTTAAAGATGACAAATCATTAATGAATGTATAATAATCAATCCAAGTCTTTTACAAGACAAGAAAACACAAAAAAATTATTTCTACAGCAACAAGTATTTTAAACTACACGTAGGTCTCAGAATTATGAACAGTACTGCAAATATTCACTGAGTTAAATATCTTTAGAGCTTATTAAATCAGTCTTAAAACCAACATCAAACAGTCCTTAAACAATAGTAATTTAGAATACACTTGTGCCGACAGTAGTATTTTAAATTGACAGGGAATATGTTTCAAACTCGATTTAAAACTTAATCCTTTCAAGTATATATTCCCATTATTAATTTTTTTTTTTCTGCAGGAATGCAAAAATCAGATCTTGAAATGATAGGGAAAAATATTAAAACTTCTTGGAAATATTAAGTGACTGCCTTCGGCATGTTCAGTGAAACGTGATTTCCATACCTCCACTGTGTCGAATGACATTGATTGATAGGACAAACACACCTGGACTTCCTGTAAACTGTGTGAACTTGATGACAGAAAATAAAAGCCAATGATTACTGTCAAATGGATTTGTTAATCTAAAAAAATTGATTACCTTTTCTGCTTGGAATATTTAGGAGAAATAATAAGAATTTTTATTTAATGCATCAGATATCTGAGAATTGAGGGGGTCTCTCTCTCTCTCTCTCTCTCTCTCTCTCGTACATTTCTCTGTTTAGTAAAAACTATGACAGCATATTACTACTTAATTAGTTTTGAAAATTTAATCTATTACAAATAATTATTGAATGCCTCTTCATTTCCATCATCCTGCGGAGTATAATCACGGCCTGGAAATGTATACACATACATGTAGAAGTTAGCTAAAATAATCATCATAAAAGAATACAAAAGACACATAACTAAGAATATTTTGCATTAGAATTTTAAAAAACGAGAGGTTTTATGCAATACGTCAACAGACAATTGTGAATAAAAAAAATCCGTTATTTTACTCTGAGTTGCCTTGGCATGAAAATACATGTCTGGTTGATTCAACCGCGTACAATGTAATTAATTCATTCTATGAATAGTAGTTTTATCTTCTAAAGTCCACATTATTTTTTTGTGAAAAGATAAGCATATTTACTATATACATAAATAGATTAATTTTATATTTAAACACGTGTTCGGTAACAAATACACATGTTTTACGGCAATTAAAATCATGTTATAAAACTATCAATTTAAATCATAGGTGAATATATGTGTAGAAAAAAAATGTTTTTATTATTTATTTATTTATCTACTGTGTATTTATATTAAAGCACCTGAAATTAGAATTATAGAATAATTTCAATGCAAGGAAAAGATTGGAGGCATTCCGAATAAATCGTTCATCTTGCGTTCACCGTTCGTTCACCGTTCACTTTGCGCTCGCGTTCGCGCTCCGTTCGCGCTCCGTTCGCGTTCTGTGTTCACCGTTCACACTTTGTTCACCAAGTTGCGTTCAGCGTTCGCACATCGTTCACTCACCGTTCGCTCTGCGTTCGTTAACTGTTCGTTCAGCGTTCGTTCACCGTTCAGGTGGGAAAGTAGGACATTTCAGGGACTGTAAGTGTATACAACTATGCTCATAATAACCAATGCATCAGTATCATAGTAAGTAACTTAACGATAACTCCTCATAATCACCAATGTATCATAAGCTAAAACCTTGTACTAGAACTTCAACATTTGAGCTAAATATAATGACAGTTATGAAAAAAAATGTTACATTAAAGCTGTGAGAAGAAGACGCAAATTTGGCAGCAAGCATGTATACAAGAGTGACTGTTAAAAGTTAATTCCCCCTAACAGTGGATGGCTTACTATTACATAGAGCAGTATTCACTCGGTATCACTGGAGTTTTAACTGTTGTCTGTACTAGCTTATACTGTAGGTTGAGAACTAGTGTCTCTGACCTTATGGTGTCAGCAGGCTCAAAGGTGTGTTTATTGTTATGATATCTGTATTTAAAGCCTGTGAGTTTCTTGTCTATGCAGTAATAAGATTCCAGCGCTTGTAACGTTTGATAACACGATTTGTCACATCAGCATGATTTGTGGTGCTTTGATGCTGTTTTCACAAGCATGGACTTGCAGAAGAAAAATTACAGGTGTATCAACAAGGTATTACTTTTACTAATATTTTTTTCTAGCCAACTAAAATGTTAATGATTTAATATGTTACAGTTCTTCTCAATCCTGGTACTATACAGCACTTTTTGACAGCTAGTTTGAAAGACAGATCTAAAATTAATGTATATTTTGGGTTTTGGTTTAACTAAACCAATGGCTTAAGTGATTTTTTCTGATCAAAGGGTGTCTATAGTGTCAATGTGTCTGTCATCTGTAAACTTTTTATAACCCCCGCAAACGAAGTTTGTGGGGGTATATAGGAATCACCTTGTCCGTCTGTCTAGCTGTCTGTCTGTCTGTCTAGCTGTCCATCCGTCCCTCTGTCTGTGCAAACGTGTCCGCTCCATATCTTTCTTACAGAGGGACATTAGAATCTACTACTCCACACAAAGATTGCCCATGACCTAAGGGTGTGTCATAACCTTGACCCAAGGTCATTTGGGGAAGTTCAAGGTCACCGGAAGAAAAATTTCATTATTCGTGTCCGGTCCATATCTTTCTTATGGATAAACTTGGTAGGTTCTCATTTCACACAAAGATTGCCCATAACCCAAGGGTGTGTCATGACCTTGACCCAAGGTCATTTGGGGAAGTTCAAGGTCACTGGTAGAAAAATTTCATAATTTGTGTCCGGTCCATATCTTTCTTATGGAAAAACTTACTTCTGAAAAACCTAGCGGGGGGTATTTTGTCCCGTTTGGACAGTTCTAGTTTTAATTCATTTTCTCAAGAATCATTCTGCCAATTATAAATCAAACTTGCAACAAAGTATCTTTCTATAAACTTTTCTGAGGATCATTGTTGAACTAAGTCACTCTGGATACATTATATCATTTATGTATTCTAAGATTATGCATGAAGTACAAGTATTTACATTGATTATATGCCAGTAGTTTAATAATTTTCTTTTAATATAAAGCGTCCATTACTTAATTAATCTTTTTTTTTTAATTCAATATCGTCAGTTCTAAAAACATTTATCAAAACTATATATATGTACAAACTCATAACTTTGAATTGAAAATGTTAACCGATTCTGACGAAAAGTCTTACCAACATGTAAGCAGTTCAATGTTAAATCTCTCTAAAATAACCTTGAAATATAAAACCTAGGTAGTACTTATAGACAAAACAACTTGTAAGCAAGTGTAAACAATAATTCAATAGATTCTTTTAAAATTCTTCATCTCTAGAACCACTGGACTAGAAAAGATAAAGAACTATATGCAGTAAATTACATATCTTTGCCACCACAAAAGTCAAATTTTGAAAAATTCTTGAAATACTGTAAAATCACATATTTTCTTGGAGTCAAATTTTCGTTGTTTGAGGGAAAAGTCTTGGTTCATGAGGATTTGATTTCATGGATGTAGAATTGTTGAGTAGTTAAGTATGTAACATTTTACATTTTGTGGTGGACATGAATTCGTTGGGCTCTTTATACTTCGAAAACAAGGAAAATTAAACCCCCACGAAAATTTGTGATTTCACAGTATTCTGAATTCTATAAATTGTATGAGAAATATCAATAACAGAACATATTATAGTTTCAAAGTAGTTTATTGACAATTTTTTTTTATGACGTCACAAACTATTACGATTTTATATCATTTTTAGCTCACCTGAGCTGAAGGCTCAAGTGACCTTTTCTGATCACATTTTGTCTGGCGTCCGTCTGTCTGTCCGTCCGTCTGCCTGTAAACTTTTCACATTTTCGACTTCTTCTCAAGAACTGCTGGGCCAATTTCAATCAAACTTGCCACAAAACTTCCTTGGGTGAAGGGAATTCAATTTTGTTCAAATGAAGGGCCACGCCCTCATTCAATTGGAGATATTGGGAATTGATGAAAATTTGGTGGCATGTTTTAAAAATCTTCTTCTCGAGAACCACTGTGCCAGCAAAGATGAAACTTATGGGGAAACATCCTCAGGTAGTGTAGATTCAAGTTTGTTCAAATCATGACCCCCGGGGGTAGGGCAGGGCCACAATGGCCGACCAAAGTTTTACATAGAAATATATAGGAAAATTCTTTAAAATCTTCTTCTCAAGAATAACAAAGCCATAATTGATCATATTTGATATAGAAGCATCCTCAAATTGTGTAGATTCAAGTTTTTTCAAATCACAACCCCCGGAGGTAGGGCGGGGCCACAATGGCCGACCAAAGTTTTACATAGAAATATATAGGAAAATTCTTTAAAAATCTTCTTCTCAAGAATAACAAAGCCATAATTGATCATATTTATATGGAAGCATCCTCAGGTAGTGTAGATTCAGGTTTGTTCAAATCATGACCCCCGGGGGTAGGGCGGGGCCACAATGGCCGACCAAAGTTTTACATAGAAATATTTAGAAAAATTCTTTAAAAATCATCTTCTCAAGAATAGCAAAGGCTTGATTGGCCATGGGACTACATTTGGATTTAAGTTTTTTAATAATAAACCAATTTCTACTTTTTCCTAGCCACAGTGCTCAGATTGGCCATGGGACTACATTTGGATTTAAACTTTTTAGTAGTAAACCAATTTCTACTTTTTCCTAGCCACAGTGCTCAGGTGAGTGATGTTGCCCATGGGCCTCTTGTTTAGAAAGAGGACAAAATGGACAAAATTTCAACAATTTTAGCTTTAAGGTAGGTCGCGGGTTTACTGCATAAAAATTCTTACGAGAAAACATATCCTGAAAATTTTATAAAATGTTCCTTAGACTTCACAGCGTATATTCTGCAATTTTTATTAATTTTGCCTACGTAGTTTTAATGCTATATTATTGTAAACGCGGTATTGTTGTTAGTACTTTTTTTACGTTTTACTATTGAAATATATGGGAAAATGACGTTTTAAGCCATTTTTGTGAAAATAGTTTCTTTTAAAAAGGTTGGATAATTTTTTAAAGACGTAGACGAATTAGTCAGGAATTTCAAAATATCAAGATGAGGTAAAATCAAAACTATTAATATAAAAAAATCAATCTGTCTTCTCGCTAGATTTTTTGCTAAATAATTTCAAAGTTTTCTTTTATACTGCTAAAATGTTGCGTTTATGGCGTTATTTACGTATATCTACAACGTCATCTGTTGAAGTTGAACGTAGTCACATTTACAGAACGAGTATAAATATCTTGACCTTTGGAATATGCAAGATTTAAAAAGTGACATAGATACAAAGTTTTATTTTATTTATCATTTAATTTATTGCGGAGACATATTGGGATGACTAGCAACTTATCGGTATTTTCACTAGTATTGTGAAATCCATACTCTGATCACTAAGTCAAAATGGAAGGTATAATCATTCCTCGTGCATGAGAATTAAACATACAGCGACAACAACGCGAGTGATAAAATATTTGTACCTTTATTTAAAAAGGAAATTCATGGTCAATAGGATTTCAGGCAGGGGACACAAAAATTTGATCACTTTTTTCGAAAACGAAAAGAAAAACATCCCGATACTGAGGAAATAACCGGGAGGAGGGGAGGGGGAGTACCTACAACGTTCTTTCTATGTTAGTCGCAAGCTATAGTATATGTCCCTAAATCTCAAACATTTGTTTCTTTCGAATTCTCTGAATCAAATTTCAATACCCAAAATGGAGAACACTTGCATTTAGCTTTTACACTTTGAACTTTTTGTTATAAAAAAAATTATACAGAAAAAAATGATACTTGTAAATTGTTTACAGTGACTTATAGGTCTTATAGGTGTTCGTATCAAATTGATTTTAAAATGCATTTCACAATTTATTAGCCAGCAAAACAATGTGAATATACGAGCTTCAAATACATAACAACCAAACAATTATGATAATGATGATGATAATTTTAAAAAACCTAGAAAATACATGTTATTAAATTTCACCTGTTTTTAATGATGAGGATTGATTCCATCCTGAAAAGTAAAGGCAAATTTTTGCCCCGGCTTTGATTGGCAGTCATGATGCAAAACGCATGTTCACCTGAGTTTCAAATAACGCGTGCGCACATACATCCCCCCCCCCCAAATTTTCCGCTAAGCAATTTTTATTCATTATAACTTTTTTTCTGCATACAATAACTTTTACGCTGATTTATTCTGATTGACTTTTACCAGTTTATAAATTATTTTTTTCATTTGGTTTTGTATTTAATTAGTCCTAAGATATTACAAATAATCACATCAGAATTTAGACTGAAATTTAATTATAAAACATGTACATGTACGAGGTTTACGTACAATAGCATGCACTTTGTATTAATCTACCCTGATACTTGATTCGCACAGACTTGAAGTCATTTGCAGAGAATTAAACGGCAAACAACGTGACGTTGCCTTTGTGACGTAACTGACGTCATAATCAAATGTGCACAAAACAACCGCTCGAATCGCCGAAATTGTGTACCAAAATTGATGACAAAAGCAAACCCGCGACCTACCTTAAAGATTATAGAGAGCAAGTTTTCTCAGGAACAATATTTACATATTTCAGACTGTTATGGATAATGGATATTATCATTGTACACATTATATCAAAATATTGAGCCTGATCAGACCTGCGCTCGGGTTGAATGAAATTTTAAAACCATTTTCTTTTTTCTTTTATAATTATTTACACCTGTGTGATATCGACTTTGAACTACTGTAGATCACTAAATTTTCGTGAGATAGTCATTGACTCTTGATTAGCGAGACAAAATTTTCGCGAATCGTGGTTATTGCTCTAGATAATCATAAGGAATGCTATTATACGCGAGAATTAAATTTTCGCGAGCACACTGTCTCACGTAATTACGCGAAAATAATGTTCTCGCAAATAAAAATGATTTACAGTACTTTGAACTATATATATTCTATTTTTATAAACATGGGTTCCTCACTTCTTAAATGTTAGACGTAATTTCTCTGTGACATCATAAAGGGTTTATGTGCAATCAATGCATCAACGTGTGGCTTTGAGTTTGAAAAATAAAACATTAAACACAATAAAATTATAATGAGGCAAATACATGTATAAAATCTACATGTATGAATAAGTCACAAATGTACCCGTATTTATATCCTTATAAATGTTTAAAGATGATATGCACATTATTTCTTAAATAAATTTTGAATAACAGAATTTAAATATAAAGAACAAAATCTATTAAAAATATTCTCCTTAGTAACAGGAAAGTTGATGATATTTATATGGAGGCATTCTTAGGCAGTGTAGTTTTTTTTTTATTTTTTGATAGTGATGCATGTGAGTTTTCAGGGGCCATAGTTAAAGAATAGAGTTTTATGAAGCTAGAGGTGTTGTGAGTATTGAGCTCACTAAATGATACCCCCTGCCTCTCCTATGGGTATATAAGTCCATGTTTTGCACTGGGAGACCTGAAACAAGTGTCAGATCAAAAAGTAAAGTAGATCACAATGGCGATAAAAAAAATCTGTGAAAGTTTCATTAGTTTAAAACTTCATTGAATGGTATAAGAGGAGATAAGAAATGAGTATCCCAAAGCGTAACAGACAGAGGGAAGGACATCCCAATCACTATATATACCCTGTCACCTTTAAGGGGGGGGGTATAATAAATAGAAATTTTACCGTACATTGACAAAAGTTTGTCCCCTTTCATTACTCACTCATAGAAATAAATAATTGAGGTAAAAATTAAGGCCCATGGGTGTGTTAAATTGTTATAAACAAAAATTTTGCCCTGTTTTGTAATATATCACTTTTGTTTTAATAATTCTTAATCAATATTTTGCTGAATGTATTACTTTAAAAAAATTCAAATTATAACATATATCTTTCTGAAATTTCAAGTTTTGTAAGACACATTAAGATGATATACATGTGTATATCATTTGTGATTTTTTAAGTATATTTTTGACTTTTGATTACAAGGGTATATATTATATACACCCATTTTCATTTAAAAATTTCCCTTTCAGAAAAGAAAATTGTTAAGAGAAACATGGCATTATATGAAGGCACTAAAAGATGATATAGCTGTGGCAGAGATTACAGAGGAAACCAAGAAGAGTACCTGATTTGTCCTGTTCACTATAGGGTTGAGGAGTATAAGGACAAGTAAAAGAGGTCACAGTCTGAATAGCCATTTTAAAGCACAAAGAAAATCCTGAATTTGTGAGAGAAATGTGATATACCTGCATGGCTGCCAAATTAATTCTGTTGTTGATATGTAAGATTAATATTTTTGGTTCAGTTTTGTTATTTTTGCAAAACCCTGCTCTAGTGTTAAATATTTCATCTCTAGAAACACTGCTGTTAATTCTGTAGTGACAGCTCTGAGGACTGGATGAGAACAGAATGGGAGCCTGTGGTTAGAAATGCCTAATTAATGAGGACCAATCATTAAGAAATCAAGTTAACGTTAATCTATGTCTCAAAATCTTATCTCATTTGTTGAATATAACAGTTAATAGTTAGAGGTCAAGAACTCCAATGAACCAGAGTATGTAAAGTTAAACACTCCTAGTAATAATGAGGGTCTGTAGTAAGGTTATCCAGTCATCCCTCATCATAAGTACTTTATCTGTAGTTAAGTATTCCAATCAAGCAGTATTTGTAGTTTAGTAACTAAGACAACCAGAATCTGTATGCAGTTCAGTATATTAGTCAACCAAAATTTCAGTTACATGACTGTATGCAATAATTTGTAGTGTAGTACTCCAGTTCAACTGTATCTGAGAGTACTCCTGTATACAATAATTTGTAGTGTAGTACTCCAGTTCAACTGTATCTGAGAGTACTCCTGTATACAATAATTTGTAGTGTAGTACTCCAGTTCAACTGTATCTGTAGAGTACTCCTGTATACAATAATTTGTAGTTTAGTACTCCAGTTTAACTGAATCTGTAGAGTACTCTTGTATGCAATAATTTGTAGTGTAGTACTCCAGTTTAACTGTATCTGTAGAGTTCTCCTGTATACAATAATTTGTAGTGTAGTACTCCAGTTCAACTGTATCTGTAGAGTACTCCTGTATACAATAATTTGTAGTGTAGTACTCCAGTTTAACTGTATCTGTAGAGTACTCCTGTATACAATAATTTGTAGTGTAGTACTCCAGTTTAACTGAATCTGTAGAGTACTCCTGTATACAATAATTTGTAGTGTAGTACTACAGTTTAACTGTATATGCATGTAGTTTAGTACTCTGGTTTACAAGAATTTGTTGTTAAGTACTCCAATTTATAGGAATCTGTTGTTTAGTACTCCGATTTATAGGAATCTGTTGTTAAGTACTCCATTTTATAGGAATCTGTTGTTAAGTACTCCAATTTATAGGAATCTGTTGTTAAGTACTCCATCTTATAGGAATCTGTTGTTAAGTACTCCAATTTATAGGAATCTGTTCTTAAGTACTCCAGTTTATAGGAATCTGTTGTTAAGTACTCTATTTTACAAGAATATGTAGTTAATTATTCAAATTTACAAGAATCTTTAGTTAGTATTCCAATTTACAAGAATATGTTGTAAAGTAATCTAGTTTACAAGAATCTGTAATTGATTACTCCAATTTACAAGAATCTGTAATGAAGTACTCTAGTTTACAAGAATCTGTAGTTAGTCTAGTTGATCAGAATTGTGAACTTCAGTTCTTTGGTAAATGAAAGATAATATATTATTATGAAAACCCCCTGTTGTTGTTGTTTTCCTTTGATGATATTTATTACAGAAATGTGTGTGAATAAAGTTGAGTTTCAATATGTAGTCTGTTGTTTTTTAATTTGTTAACTTAGTGTGTTTGATCAGAAAAAGAGTATGGGTTTATAAATTAATACAGGGTCTCTAGATTTTATCTTATTTCAATAAAATTGGGACACAGTCAGAATTAAAATCTTTTTATGCCCCTGTAATCCAAGATTTAGGGGTATATATTTTTTTTTTGGCCGACCGTCTGTCTAGCTGTTCGCAATAACTTGAACCTTGCTCATAACTTTTGATTTAGTGGAGCTATGACTTTCATATTTCACATGTATATTCTTCATGACAAGACCTTTATTTTGGTACCAACAAATTTGACCTTGAAGTTTGACACACCTCAAATTGCACAAAAATATTTAACTTTTACTTTGGTCATAATTTTTGAACAGTAGATACTAAGACTTTTTATACTTCACATATGTATTCTTTGTGTAAAGACTTTTAATTGGATACCAATTTCTCTGACCTTGACCTTGGAGATTAATGTACTTTACAAAAAAACTAACCTTTGCCATAGCTTTTGAACTATGTGGGCAAGGGCTTTCATACTTCACAAATGTAATATCTTGTGAGAAGACCTTTCATTGGATGCCAACATTTTTTACCTTTTGAACTTGACCTTGAAGTTTGACCTACTTTTAAAAACAAACTTTGACAATAACATTTGAAGGGTAAGAGACAGGGCTTTCATTTTTCACATATTTAATCCATGTGATGAAACCTTTCATGGGATACGAAGAACTTTGACTTTGACCTTTGAGTTTGATCTACTTTTTAAAAACTTGAGCCTTGGTCATAACTTTTGAACAGTTAAGGCTATGGCTGTTATACTTCACACATATAATCCTTGTGAGACCATTCTTTAGAAACCATCAACTTTGACACTGGAGTTTGACTTACCTTGCAAAAATTTATCCTTGGACATATTTCTTGAAAAGGTGTTGCTAGGCATTACAAATTTTACAGTTGTATTTCTTGTGAGAAGACCTTACTTTGGATACCATCAAATTTAGTTTGTATTTAAGAAAAGTTTAATCTTTGCTATGTTCCCATACGGGGGCATCAGTGTTTCACAAACACATCTTGTTAATATAGATTTTTAGCTTTTCCGAGTCAGAAGCTCAAAGAGCTTATGCTACATGACCATTTATTAAAACGTTATTAACTAAGGGCTGATATCATCAAATCTTGTCAATTAGGACTTCATATCATGTTGACTCAAAATTGGTAACAGAAAACTTCTTTTCTAATTTTTCTGGGATTTTTTTTTACTAATTAATTTAGCTGCAGATCTGTAGCTCTCCGAAAAAATATATTGATAGACCGGAGAGCTACAGTGCCACCCATTGAAAAAACTGTATATTTATTGCGCACAAAAAAGTGCGCTCGGTTCTCGATTTATTTCTCCATGTTTTTAAACTGTGATCTCAAAACATTACTAACCGTGTGTTCCGAACATATTCTTTCGCTGTTTCCACAACCAAACATTCCTCATAATTGTTGTTAATAGTCCTCCTGACCCTGATATTGTAATAATAGAACATTTCGCTTATTTATACTGCCATTTTGGTTTCAAAGATAATTCGGTCCAATATGCTTCGTTCAGATGTCAACTACGAGAGTACTTGACAGAGGAGAAAGGAATGTTTAAAATCTTCCATTTTTTGCAATTAAAGTAAGAATTTGGAAGAATTAATCAAGAACCGAGCGCACTTTTTTGTGCGCAATAAATATACAGTTTTTTCAATGGGTGGCACTATAGCTCTCCGGTCTATCAATATATTTTTTCGGAGAGCTACAGATCTGCAGCTATAATTAATTTAGAGGAATATTTTAGATTCTTTAAGTCCTATGTCATCAAACTTTTGTCAACTAGTGATGATCACTAATTTGTTTTATATGTATATTGGGCACATTTTATTCCTATGATCATCAAACTTAGTCAGTTGATGATGATCATCTTTTTAGCTCACCTGAGCCGAAGGCTCAAGTGAGAGTTTCTGATCACATTTTGTCCATCGTCTGTCTGTCTAGCTCTCTGTCTGCCCTTCTGTCTGTAAGCAATTTTTAGACAGTTTTACTCCTTTGTATAAATGCGATTAGTAATGTGTCCATCATCCATCCGTCTGTCTAGCTGTCTGTCTGTTTGTCCGTCTGTAAATTTTTTTTCAAAATGCTACGCCTCCTACAGTTTTAGTCTGATTTCAATATAACTTGGCACACAAGTAGACTACAATAAGATACATAATTCTGTATATCTGTTTTTGATTTTGATGAATGGTGTTGCCGTGGTTTAAAATACTAAAAATAGAAATTTCTGTAAAATACATTTAAAATGCTACTCCTACTACAGATTTGGTCTGATTTCAGTATAACTTGGCACACACACAGACTACGCTAAGATACAAGTTTTCTGTTTAAGGAAATTTTGATTACGATGAACGATGTTGCCGTGGTTACTAAAAATAGAAATTTCCATGAAATACATTTGAAATGCTACTCCTCCTACAGATTTGGTGTGATTTCAATATAACTTGGCACACAAGTAGACTACACTAAGATACATAATTCTGAGTATCGGTTTTTGATTTCGATGAACCGTGTTGCTGTGGTTATTAAAAATAGAAAGAGTTCCATGAAATACTTTTCGAATGCTACTCCTCCTACAGATTTGGTCTGATTTCAATATAACGACACATAAGTAGACTACACTAATTAAGATACATAATACTGTTTGTCGGTTTTTGATTTGGATGAACAGTGTTGCTGTGGTTACTAAAAATAGAAATTTTTTGTGAAATACTTCAAAATGCTACTCCTCCTACAGTTTTGGTCTAATTTCAATATATCTTTGCACACAAGTAACTACACTAAGATACATAATTTAGTGCATCGGTTTTAGATTTCAATGAACAGTGTTGCCATGGTTACTATAAATAGAAATTTCTGTGAAATTCCTTTAAAATGCTATTCTCCTACAGTTTTGGTCTGATTTCAATATAACTTGGCACACAAGAAGACAATACTAAGATACATAATTATATGCATTGGTTATAGATTTTGATGAACAGTGTTACCATGGTTACTAAAAATAGAAATTTCCGTGAAATACTTTTAAAATGCTTCTCCAAATACACTTTTAGTCTGATTTTAATATAATTTGTTATGCAAGTAGACTACATTGAGATACATAATTATCAGTTTTGTGTTTTTGATGAACGATGATGCCATGGTAATTAAAATTGAAAATTCTGTAAAATTTTATTAAAGCTACTCCTACAGTTGTGGTCTTATCATAATCTTGTCACAAAAAGAGACTTAATCAAGGATCATTATTTTATTTATTGCTTTTGGAAAGTTTTATGTCCCAACTGCTACTTGTCTCTTCCTTTATTATGAGTACAAACCAGTAGAGCTACAGTCTCGATAGAGACTTCTGGTTCAAAATGCTACTCCTACAGTTTTGGTCCGATTTCAATATTACTTGGCACAAAAGTAGACTACACTAAGATACATAATTTAGTGCATCGGTTTTAGATATCAATGAAAGGTGTTGCCATGGTTACTAAAAATAGAAATTTCTATGAAATTCCTTTAAAGCGCTACTTCTACTACAGTTTTGGTCTGATTTCAATATAACTTGGCACACAAGTAGACTACCCTAAGATACATAATTTATTGCATCAGTTTTAGATTTCAATGAACAGTGTTGCCATGGTTACTAAAAATAGAAATTTCTGAGAAATTCCTTTAAAATGCTATCCTCCTACAGTTTTGGTCTGATTTCAATAAAACTTGGCACACAAGTAGACAATACTAAGATACATAATTATTAAAATGCATTGGTTTTAGATTTTGATGAACAGTGTTGCCATGGTTACTAAAAATAGAAATTTCTGTGAAATTCCTTTAAAATGCTACTCTTTGTACAGTTTTGGTCTAATTTCAATATAACTTGGCACACAAGTAGAATACACTAAGATACATAATATATTGCATCTGTTTTTGATTTCCATGAACGTTGTTGATATGGTTACTAAAAATAGAAATCTCTGTAAAATTCCTTTAAAACGCTACTCCTCCAAAAGTTGTGGTCTGATTTCAATATAACTTGGCACATAAGTAAACTACACTAAACTACATAATATTGTGCATCAGTATTTGATTTCGATGAACGGTGTTGCCAAGGTTACTAAAAATAGAAATTTCTGTGAAATTTCTTTAAAACGCTACTCCTCCAAAAGTTGTGGTCTGATTTCAGTATAACTTGGCACACAAGTAGACTACACTCTGATACATGATTTAGTAGATCGGTTTTTGATTTCAATAAAAGATGTTGCCATGGTTACTAAAAATAGAAATTTCTGTGAAATTCCTTTAAAACACTACTCCTCCTACAGTTTTGGTCTGATGGCAATGACTTCTTTTCTCTTCCTTTGTTATAAGTACAAACCAGTAGAGCTACAGTCTCAACAGAGACTTATGGTTAAAAAATGCAATATCTAGAAAAATAAAACATTTAGAAATTAAGAGGAGCACTGGTCCAGATATTTTTTTGTGTGTTAACTTAAAAAAAAAAATACTACCCATTCATCTGTTATAGTCATACTTAAACAAAGCATTTCATACAACGGGCTACAATGGTTTTTATAATTATAAGTTTCAAAATAATATTGCCATGGTTACTGTATCAAAAGATTTTCTTTAAGGTATGTCACTCGTCAGCTTTTAGAAAAGTTCATGCAGAACCTCTTACTTCAAAACTTTTTATTAAAATTCAATTTTTATAGCATATTTAATTTCAACAATGTTAATGTTTTAACATTCAACTGAAAAACTGCTCAAAAAGCTACAAAGAACCAAGATTTATGAGGGTCAATTTCTTGTGTTGGAAGGATATTTGGCAGATAATTCTGTAAAATTTAATCTGCATATTTATTAAATTTAATATCTTGGAACTTTGGCCTCACATACTTTTACTCAGAGAATATTTTCCATTATGATAT